CGTATGAGGTCGTTTAACAGGTAGTAGCGTTAAAAGACGACGTCGTAGGCTAACAGCAAGCAGGTTAGCAAGCTAAGAGCCACACCGTAATTCCAACCAGGAGTTGGCTAGGTGAAACAAAGATGGCTAACCGTGAAAGCGGTGAACGCTGTGCGAAAAGCCCGGGAAAGGACAACTTTTACTTACATAAGCAGCCCCTCAAGACCCAAATCCCAGAGCAGATGCAGTTTGAAATTCATTCACCAAAAAATAGGACCAAACCAAGTATTTGGTTGCTGCTTGAGAGGGCTTGGTAGATCTTGGCTACAGACCTGAAGCCCTCCTTTACTGCGGCAGCACCCGACAAACCGCACACACGACTTCAATGGCGGCCTTGCTGATGTTAGCAGCTATCCAGCCGAGACAATATTAGCGTGCTGGCTACATAGCCATGATGCCAAGCTAACGAGCCAGCTAATCCAGCTTGCTAGCACGGCTAAAGCCTGCTCTCGAGTTTAGTACGAGCCTGTAGATTGTAAAACATTGGAGCGGAAGCTTTGCTAAACCGCCCATCCGACCATGTTAAGTCTGCTTTCGCATGCAAGACAAACTGGACGGTAATTTAAGCAATACGAGATCCACAACAAGCATTCCTTAAAAAAACACTGGAATAAGATCCAAAGCAGAAATAGTCCTTTATACCAGTGTGTTGCTGTGCTTGTCTGCTCTTCAAGCAGAACAGATTGTTACAAGCAGTGCGAGTCAGGGCCTGTATTTTTCCATCACAAAGTTCACAACTGGAGACGAAAAATAGACAACCCGCACGCTGACTAACGATACTATAAACGGCAGGATTGTACAGAGCTGAGCACACACACCCTGTGCATCAACGCTGCCAGTATTCTCGGCAGAGCAAGTTGAATTTAAATGATGAAATAATCATCAGGAGGCAGGATCACGTCGATCGTAAATGTAGAAATCCGTGCATGCACACACCCACCTTTATGTCCTTTTACTTTCAGGTTGCTGAGAGAAGAAAGAAAGAGAATCGTTTATATGCTTCAAACTCCGGGTTGAGAAGGGCTTTGCAAGCCTGTAGTGAGCTTCGTCAGACTGCTGTGTGTGTCTTCCTCTCTCTCTGCCTGTGTGTATAGCTGGCGCCACAGCTCATCTGGCGCCAACGTTGGACGACCGACGCACTTTAGCGAAAGCAATCATTGTCATTTCAATGCAGCACGGAAACCATTGTCCCCCCCTACAGGCGTGGAGGAGCACTGCACCACCACCAGAGGCTGGGCTGTTGCCATTAGTGTGCAGTATTTACATAGAGAGATAGAGAAACTGCAGCAATTAACCCACAGAAGAAGTGTTCAGACCTAAACTTTAAAGTACCAACACAGCACTGTAGAAATACTCAGTTACAAATAAAAGACCTGCATAAAAAGTCCTACCTAAGTGAAAAGTGGAAAATATAAAGTATTCATGTAAAAGAGCACTGCAAAACATGCAACCAGATAATAGTGGAATTAACTAATCTTTTCCTGTTAAGATAAGATAAGAGATGCCCTTGTTACAGCAGAAAAGGGAAAGGTGCAAAACTGTATCAGAAAAATTAACAAGGATATTATTAGTTTTTACTTATGTACATAAGTACTGTCGATATTGCACTGATTCATCTGTATGAGAAAAAAACAACATTGCACAGTTATTCTATATGCATGTTTTTAAAAAACACAGATATTATACATATTCTACCATGAATAGAAACCCACCTATAAAAAAAAGATATTTAACACATTCTTGTATATATGAAAAAAATTGTACAGTGTATTTTAAATGTACAAAATATAACATAACACAGGTTTGAACGCACTGATGTTAGAACAGAGTGAAATGTGACAGTGTGTCTATGTGTACAGTCTGCTGGGAGCAGCACTGATTGTAAACCTAATGCAAATACACAAGCTTTGTAAATTGAAATGAAAATCAGCTCATTACATCTAGTTTTTAGAGCATAAAAACTGGAATGCCGGCAGATTTCTCATCATGCATCGTTTGAGAGTTAAGTCTCTCCTGATACTCTTCTTTTGTAGCTTGAAAAACCCATTCACAATGTGCTGTTTGTCACTGAAGGTGTGTTAAATCCTGTTTGTTTATTTGCATAATAATGAAAGCAGTGCAAACCATGACTTGGATTCAGGCCCTACCCCTGTTCAATTTCTATAAAAAAAACAAACAAAACTGAGATACTAGAAGCAGCCTCACATATTGTCCTATGCAGTTTTTTTTTCTGAAGGCAGCAGAAGAAATGTTGGCCAAATTTAAAATAATCCACTGATTTGATTATTCTGGCTGATAAGAAAATATTATTAGGCTATTAAAACTGAAGAATCAGTAATCAGCATGCAACTGTTGTAGCCTTTGAAGTTTGAACTAGTTTATATATTGTTTTATCTGCAGAGAGAGCAGCAAAATCTGAGGAATAATGAGATGATTAATGGGAGAAGAAAGAAAAAGAAGAAGGAAAAAGTTCTGATCAACCAAAGTCTTTTCAGCTTTGGACTTTTTTCTCTCCATATTTTACTATTGCTGATATATTGGATAACTTGAACATTTATGAAAATGAAAGCATGTGTGAAGCTTATGAGGGAAATGTAAATTTTTGGTTGGAGGTGTTAACAAATTAGAGATCTGAAATATGAGCCAGACTACTCCCTGCTTTTTGCTAGAAGCCAAAAAAACAACAACTTGAAAACCATTGACTAAACACAGTGCTGTATCTTAATGGCCTGTTATATTATCAAACGTGTAAAATCTTCATCTTAAAAGTGAATAAAGTTTTCAAATAGATGTGCTGGAGTAGAAAGTATCCCATTTTCCTGTGAAATGTAGTGAAGTGGAAATATTAAGTAGCATAAAGTAGAAATATGTAAGTGAAGTACACACACTTTAAATCTGTACTTAAGTACAGTACTTGAATAAATGTATTTAGCTACATTCCACTATTGAGCAAAATATTGGTAGAGTAGTAAACCTGCAGTAATGTCACAACATAGAGTTAGAGGAAACATTCAGACTTTGCTTTGACTTTGGATTTATATGACAGCTATATGTACTTTGCAGAATAACTTTTTCACACAAAACCCGATCAGCACACATTTGATGCTGACTTGTACATTAACGCATCAATATAAAAATGCTCATTAACTACTTTGACTTTTGGTAGGTCTTTTCTCTAGATTGCTGATGATGCTTCTGTATTTTTAATTAAAACCTTAATGGAAGACTTTTACATTGTGCAGGTTATAAGTAAATCTGCTACTATTATGCTGCCAGTCCTTCCCTGAAGGATTTTATTTGCATGGTCTATTTGCTGACTTGTCCTTTGAAAACATTTGCTTGATACAAAGTGAGGTAGTCTGTCACTGTGCAAATGAAAACTGACACTGTGGCAGGGCCTTACGTAATTCAGAAATTGGCCTGGCATCACTGTGAACCACTGATGACAGAAAATACCAATGTTAACTACAGTAGCCAGGCCAAATCTGTGCAAAATACCTCAGTATAGGTTTATCAGGCTGTATAGTAGAGCTAAGAAAATGATTTCAAGGGCACAGACTTGTAAAAGCAGCGAGGCAGGAAAGAAAAACATCAATACATCTTTGAAGATAGATCTATAGAACCACTTAATTTAAACAAAGCATTGACTGGATCTATCATGTGTTGGGAGAAAACATAGAAGTATTTGCACCACATTGCACACAGTAGGAATGTCAAACTATGAAAGACTGCAAATAATCACCAGTGAACTAAATGATTACTTCTGACATTTGAAACAAGAAACATCTCACTTGAACAAACTGAATACAGACGAATTAAAGGAAAATAAACATAAATTGTCTAAGTAAGCCACTGGAAGCTGCCAAAACAGATCCAAAGACCTTTGTCCAGTCTGATAATACTGGTGGGGAGTGTTTTTTTTAACACGTCCTTCCAGAATTTATCATTAAGTGCTCAGCTACTCTGCATTTATTATGTTTGACGCTTTTTTTGTTAAATGTCTGTATATTTTTTCACCTTGCAGGACACCATCTAATGTATTTTTGTATTGTAGTGCAGGTGAGTGAGTTACTTTTATTCACATCGGAAGACCAGCAGTAATGTAAGATGTGACAATTTTCACATTTTAAGAATTTAGAAATATAATTTGTAAGCTTTGCAATTTCAGCTTTGGGGAAATGATCGACTATTGGCAGGCGGTTCAGGCTGATGCAGCTCTTCAAGTCAAGTCTAGTTTCTTTTCGTTGCCATCTAAGCCCATTTTGCATACAAAGTACACAATGAGACGAAATTAAGCTTAGTCAGAACCATTAGGTGACATGTAAACAGACAACATGTACTACCAGGAACAATACAGAGTGCAAAGAACATATTGTCCAACAGTATGCAATAACCGGACAGGAAAGCAGAACATTGCTAATTGTACAAAATAGGACTATATGTAGCTATACATTTTTAGACTTCGCAAGAGAGGCATGTATTTATAAGTCATTGTACTTGTATTTAAATACTTATGTGTACATGAATATTGTATACAGTAATACAGTATGATATCAGCTATGCAGGTTGGTCGATACTTTATGCAGTAATGAATTAGTCCCACAAGATGATGCTGTTTTTCCATTACCAGTGTTTGTCAATAGTGGAGTGGTCAGCATACAATGTATAGGCCTAAAGATCACAAGAAAAACACAACTCAACTATAATCATGATACAAATAAAACAAAGTGAAGCTAATTCCATTACAGTCTGTCTATATAGGTAAGAAAACACTAATGTACAGTTCGTCAGTACGGACTCCTTCACATTGTTAGTTTCATCTTTCCCTCTCCTTTGTCTTAACTCTCTTTGTTTCAGGCACTAACACCCATTCTCAGATTATTAAACGCCCAACCAGGAATACTGGTTTTACAATGAGAGCAGACCACATAGCAAACATTCTGTCACACACAGCGTCAGTCACACAGTTTCGCTGGAGCTGTTAACTTCAGGAGCTCTCTGTCTCTGCTGGTACCTGCTTACATTTACTTGACTTTCTGTTTTTTTTAGCTGTTGATCTCAACACATTTGAGAGAAGTTAACATATTATTGCTGAGCTACATCATCTGTGGATTTTTTAATTTTGCTATCATATCTGCTGGATATATTGTCTCAATCTCCTGGCAAGAAAATGTCCCATCCCAGCACTCTGGATTTAGACAGATACAGCAGCTTGGATAAATCCCGTCGGTCCAACAGTCGTAGTCAGCCGAGGGTCCAGGCCAATTATGGGGACCCACTATGCGACTTCTGCACAACCAGGAAGCAGAAGGCCGAGAAATCCTGCCTGGTGTGCCTGGCGTCCTACTGCGAGACCCACCTCCAGTCTCACTATGAATACCCTGCTCTGATGAAGCACAAGCTGGTCAAGGCCACAGGTCAGATGAGAGAGAAGATGTGCGCGCAGCATGACAAGCTGCTGGAGGCTTTTTGTCGCACCGATGAGACGTCAGTGTGCGTTTTGTGCATGATGGACGAACACAAGCACCACGACATCGTCCCGGCTGGAACTGAGAGGACTGAGAAACAAGTGAGTAGTGAAAACAACTTGTCCATCTATTTTTTGAACATTGTAAATAGCCTATCTGAAGTGTGATCCACTATTAATGGCAACTTGAATGTACTTTCTTTCTGTAGAAACAACTTGGTGTCACACTGCACAGATCTCAACACAGGATTGACCAGAGAATCAAAAAGTGGCAGGATCTGCGACAAGCTGTTGAAGCAGTTAAAGTAAGGGAATTCACATTAATCTAAACATAGCATGGTGCCACAAGCAAGACAGTAAGGTTTTCCTGGTTTATCTTATTTCAACAACCTCTCTTCCCCTCTTTCTTATGTATCTCACCAGCACTCGGCTCAGACGGCCCTGGATGAGAACGAGCGGATCTTCACTGAACTTCTTCGTTCCATAGAGAGGAAGTACAATGAAGTCAAGGAGATGATCCGCGCCCATGAAAAGAGCACCGTGACTGGGGGGGAGATACTGTTAGACCGCCTGGAGGAGGAGATCACTCTGCTGAAGAAGAGACACAACGACCTGGATAAGCTCTCACACACAGATGATCACATACACTTCCTGCAGGTGAGGCTGCTCTGTACTGAGATACTGGCGCAAAGGTCAGGGGGTCTTTGGAGAAAAGGGGAGTATCACTCAGTATGTGCTACATGTCTCTCATCTCTTTCTTCTTGTTTTTACCAGAGCTGGCAGTCTCTGTCAGGACCCTCAGGATATGAGGACCTCAACAACGTCAGCGTTGCTCCATTTTACTCCTTTGAGTCCACCAAGAGAGCCATTGGTGCAATGAGATTACAAATAGAAGAAGTCAGCAAGACAGAACTGAGCAAAATCTCAGGAGCAGGTGAACAGATCTACCTTTCTTTATCTCCCTGAGGGGGTTCTGTAGAGTTTCTTTCAGATAATGGGTATTTTTTAGTCTGTTGTTGCTTATTCTGTCATGTGTTTCTTTAAAAAAATAAAAATAAAATATGTCCTCATAGTGAAGGAAGTGTATATCACACAAGACACTGAGCCAAAGCCAAAGAGGGAATCAAGCTTGATGGAAGAACCAAGGACAGACAGAAGAGAAGAACTGAGGACAGATAGAAGAGAAGAACTGAGGACAGATAGAAGAGAAGAACTGAGGACAGATAGAAGAGAAGAACCGAGGACGAGAGAAGATTTCTTGAAATGTAAGTTATTACATTCATTTTTTTTGCACATAAGGCTGTGAAATTTTTAACACCAGTCATGCAGGGCTAGATGGCAGCACACCTCACTCCTATTCCAGCATGGTAAGTTTTTAATATCAAAGCTTGAAAAGTACTAGTCATGGTGTCACATACAAAACATCTCAGTGCTTAACAATGGAATGACTACACCGTGTGGTAAAATGACTGAAACTACCGTGGAAGGTATGCTGCTTGTAGAACCGGTTTGGTGAAATGTAATAAAGCAAACTTACAGTTCAGTTTTCCTTAAGCAAACACAGGTGTTCCTGCTTTTACTTACACGTGGAAAGCATTTAAGCAAGCTGATTTATGGCAGTTTCTGAAACTGTAAAGTATTTAGCTTAGGTGATTTATTTATGTGGAAGATGGTGAAGCAAAAGAAAAGAAGTGATGATAACACAGTGATAATGTGAAAAACTTGATTTAAAAAACCCCACACAGTGACAAAAACACCTAAACTAACACCAGACAAATGCCAAAACATGTGGCAACATTAAATTAAATGACAAAAAGTAAAAATGGCACAAATATGACTAATATTTTATATTTTTCTGCTCTGTTCAGACTCTTCCCAGCTGATTCTGGATGTGAACAGTGTCCACCCCAACCTTCACCTCTCTGAGGGCAACAGAACAGCCACCATGAAGGAAGAAGCTAAGAACTATCCAGACCACCCAGACCGATTTGATCACTGGCAGCAGGTGAGAATTTACTGTATAGAAAGAGGGGGAGGGAAACTGATCTGTTTTAAATGATGTAGAGCCAGCATTATTGTTTCTTCATATTGAAATGGTGTTTTATCCTTGCATTTGATTTGGTTTTCACCTCTTGCTTGTGCTATATTTTGAAATGTCTTTTGCTGGTATTGATTGCAAACTTCTACCCAATTCAAGCCTTTATTATGGGTCTTTCAGACTTGAATTAAAATGCTTTCAGTGTCCCAGTAGACTTCATGTTAACTATCATCTGTCACTGTCCATTCCCTTCCAGGTGTTGTGCAGGGACAGTGTGGCTGGGACTCGCTGTTACTGGGAGGTGGACTGGAAGGGAACAGAGATAGATGTGGCCGTCACCTACAGGGGAATCCGCCGTAAAGGGAACGGCAACGACTGCAGCCTGGGCTGGAACGACAGGTCCTGGAGTTTGTATTGCTCTGACTCCAAATTCTCCTTTGTGCACAACAACAAAAGCAAAGACATCCCAGCTCCCACGTCTTCACGTATCGGCGTCTACCTGGATCATGCAGCAGGGACGCTTGCATTTTACAGTATCTTTGAAAACATGCGTCTTCTGCACAGAGTCCAGACAACGTTCAGAGAGCCCCTCTTCCCTGCATTCAGTGTGTGGGGCTTTGGTACCACTATCAGATTGTAGAAGAGGTGCCACAGCACAGCAAATTGCTCCAGACAACATTCTCTGTGAAATCTGAAACAGTCTGATTATTTCTGATTTATTTCATCTTTTGCCCCAAGTTGTTTTTCCTCGCTTGTGAATTGTTGTATGATTGTTTTGATCACTGTTGTTTTGGGGGAATCAAGATATATTTAATTTGTCAGTAAGGAAGATATGAAATATTAATTATAATGTAATTTTCTTGCTATTTCGCTTTTTAATTTTTTTTTATTATTATGCTCAAGCATCTTATATGTAAATAAACTGATATGTTGTAGATGCTGTCTGTAAATAAAATCTTAATTTCTAAAACTCCAATACTGTTACTAGTTTATTTTAAATTTTAAATATAAATACTCAGGGCATTAATTGGTGATTCTAAATTGTCCGTAGGTGTGAATGTGAGTGTGCTTGGTTGTCTGTCTCTAAGTGTGGCCCTGCGATGGACTGGCGACCTGTCCAGGGTGTCCCCTGCCTTCGCCCTAAGTCGGCTGGGATAGACTCCAGCCCCCCCGCGACCCTAGTGAGGATTAAGCGGTATAGAAGATGGATGGATGGATACTCAGGGCAGATTGCCTGGAAAGTGGCTCTTAATATCGAGCTGCTGTTTTCACTGCTGTTAATTTATAAGTCCATTTAATATCATATTACAAAATAGATCCTAAAGTAATATTTTAGTTGTTTTTCTGATGAGATTGTTGAATCTCTTGATGAGACTCAGAAAGTCTTGTTTTAGTTTACTTATTTTGTTTCTGTAATGTATTGTACCTGTAATATTTTGCTTTTCTATTTGCTCTGCATTTCTTAAGTTACACAATTTTGTTAAAAAAAAATACCTGGCATTGTTTGAGAGAAATAAACCTTTAAAGCTCTTGACACTTGAACAGAAAGTAGTATTTCGAGTGGAAAAACCTGTCAAACCACAAGTTGTGCACTCTAGAAAGCATCTAATTTGGCAGATGATGACAAGCACGGGTGCAACCCCCTCTGCTGCAGACTAATATTAGGATTATCTCATCAGGGGGTACAGGTAAAGTGATGTTTTAAAGCTCCAGAGGGCAGCAGAAACAAGTTTTGTTTGACAGACTAACATTGACTCTCAGATGTCTCCCACATGCACACACTGAAACAGTTCTCCTTTTTTTATATTCTCTGTATCCATTACAAAAGCACCTGTTTTTGAACTGAATGGTTTAATTTTACAGTGAAAAAAAGCAAAAGTGTCATCTTGAGCAGAAGAAAGGCACAAAATTTCTATATATATTTTTTAGTATGCAACAGTTAAGTTGTTTTCCAGCTCTGGTTTCCAAGTGTTGCACCGTTTACAGTGTTCAGCGGCGTTGCTAGGAAACAGCTACACTCCTGTCAGGGTGTCATAGTAACCAAAAAAGAAAAAAAAACTGGACACGATTGAAATGCTAATGTCTAAATCTGCGAAGTGTTCGTGACATCTATCGTATTTTTTCTACATATTCTGACAGTAGTAAAGTGTGATAGTGAGTAAAATCGGGAGTACAGTCGCTGAACCTGCCGGTAGCTCCGCCCACAGGTGGGCGGAGTCAAACAGCTGGATACGGTGGAGTGTCTCGTGGCGGCGATGCAGCGAGACAGACCGCGGAGAGACCGAGCCTCCCCCCACTCAGCTCACAGCGAGGACGGCTAACCGGGACCGCAGCCGCTTGGGAAAAACAGACAGAAAATAGGATACAAAAGTAAAGCTTGGACTGTGCTAGTTTTTTCCCGTCTCCACCTGAGTTGTGGAGGACACGTCGGCGTACTCTTAAGTTTCCAGAAAAAAGCTGCTCAGACCTGCTAGCTACCAGACACGGAGAAGGTGAGTAGTCACGCAGATTTGCTTTTGATGCTCGTCGTTGTTGCTAGCTAGAAGGTGAGAAAAAAACCCCTCAGCCATTGGTGGTAAATTAACTAGCAAGCAAAGTCCTAAAGCTGTGTTCATTCTCCGTTTAAATAAAGTGAACTAACGGTATCAGACAAAAAAACATCATTCAACATCTTGAAGCAAGTGGTTGTTGGGAAACTCAAGAAAATCAGTGCTGTATAAAAGCAGCGCGTATTCAACTGATGAATACAGTTATGAACCTTTTCTCTTTACCATCCATTGAGTTGCTGTGAGCATCCCTGGCTGCACAGGTTTTGATGACTTCAGCTAGTAATGGTGTTCATGATTAGATTAAATTAGAATAAATTAAACTTTATTGTCATTGCAAGAATTAAGACAACAAAATGCAGTTCAGCATCTGTCCAGAAGTGCAACACAAAAGCAGTAAAAGTGAAGTGCAATGTAAAATGTCTGAGTGGAAAAAGGTTTGATAGTGCTAAGATATATACTGTATGATTATGTAAATATCCAACATATATTAATATTCAAGATGTGTAAGTAGTGCATGCAGTATATGCAACATCAGTTTATACTGTGTGATAGAGTATCAATGCTATGGACTGTGTGGTAGGAACCTGATAAATATGATGATGATTAGTACGTGGGTAATCCTGACCTAACTCCCTGCCCTTCTCGTGTCATTCACCAGCAAAAAGGACACATCTGTCCTGCCAGCGTCCCACCTACCATCCTCCACCTGCAGGAAAGATGAATCAGTCGGTGGCAATGCAGATGTCAGTGACACTCAGTTAAATGTTACTTGAGCGGATATCATCGCTCGGCTGGCCGAAGAGGAAAAAGAAGAAAGGGACCGTTAAAGGTGCTGGAAGATGTCTCTGTGGATGATACTGCCTGTTAGCCTCCCAGTCCTGACCATCACTGGGATATGGGTTGTGTAAGTACCTTCATAAATAACAGCAAAAAACTGTGAAATCCACATATTTAGTCTAAATAATTATAAAACCTCCAACCCATAGGCAGTCAAGTGTCAGCTGAGACTGAAATGGTTTGTATAATTGTCTGCTGCCTTGAAAGTGAATACTGATGCTCAGGTTTAGTATATTTCAAGGATGTTACATAGGCTATAATGAAAGAGCATAACTGAATTTGTGGTTCCAATGTCAATGCCATACTCTATGCAGACCTTGTAAACAAGAAAACAAAGGAACCGATGTTCTGTAGAAACATAATTCCTGCATTTTTAGCAGACTCTGACATTCAGACTGTTACTTCATTATGCACACTGCTTATTTTAAAGGCAACCTTGCAAACTCCTAATATAGATATACAACAGAAATATATTCTTTACATCAGTATCACCTTGAGTCTATGTGCAATAATGCAATTATGAAAATTTGGCCCACCATAGAGCTCTGTGTAAACTATTTCATTGCCTAATAGATGTATGAAAAACATATTTCACCCACATTTATGCTGCCTGCCTAGCCATTTATCATTCAGTCATTTTTAGATTCTCACATTTATTTTGATTGCAGAGAAAAAAAACTGAATACAGTGCAAATCCTCGATGGAATTTTATTTAGTATCTATACCTAGTTTCTTTCTTTCCTATTAAATATCACAATTTATGTGACATAAAAAAATGAAATATTGTCAAAATAAAAATGAAAATTTTAAAATTATCTGTCTCATGCATTACATGTAGTGATATCCAGGCAGTATTCTACCAAATTGCAAATATGCTGTTTGGAATAAAACAAAAACCTTTTGATACCGCCGCCTCTCCTGCCTTCAGGAGAGCAACACGGCATATTTATTCTGAATTCCTGGGAGCCATGGCAATTACATGTGGATTAACACTCTCCAGGAAGGACCTGGGATTATCACCCTTCACTTAAAGGAGAGACATGCAGGTTTGCAGTGTAGCTTAATTATCTGCAGTACAGTATCTGAGCAGATGTAGCGGAGAGAAAAGAATGAGCACCTCCTGGTTATACTTGGGCTGACAGCTCTTCTCTCTGTTCTGTTATTACTTTGGGAGGAGGAATGTAAACCCCAAGGGGAGAGAGACAGATGGCCTTCTTCCAAATTGTCGTAGTTATGTATCTAGGCTATGTGCTGCATCAGTGTGATGTCTTGTGTGGGAACTAAACTGTCTAATCAGGTGCCAAATATCGAAACTTGTATACCAATTAGTGCTGATAATCGTGGCTGCTTGATAGTTCAAGCTGGAGTGTGTATCCAGGTGTACAGCTATAAATCTACACTAAGTTGGAGAACATTAAGGTGAAAATAAGTGCTCTCATGGCACATTTCTTTTTCAGTTTTGGCATTTGTCTATCCAGGTGTAAAGCTATAAATCTACACTAAGTTGGAGAACTTAGGTGAAAATAATCGCTAGCGTGGCACATTTCTTTCTAGTTTTGGCATTTGTCTCTGAGGTGGAAAGCTGATCTGAGTTGAGATTTCCAAATGCTGCTGACTGGCATACCCTTGAAACCTGTTTCCTTCCCGCTACCTTGACAAGGGCGCCTTGTTTCTAGGAGCAGTCAAAGGTCTTTTTCCAGACTAGTGGAATGTCAAAGGATGTGACATGTTGCATAACTTCTTTTTTCAGTGTGGGTGACCGGGTGGGTGGGAGTAAGGTAAATACTGGAAGGGTGTAGTAGAGAGCGTAAGCAGAATTTTCACTCAGCATCTGGTGCCCATGCCCAATATGTGAAAATTGTGTGTGGAGCCAGGCTTGTGCCCACCCAAGAGTCTTGGCTTCGATTCTGTTGCTGACCTTTTATGAGTTAAGTAATGTCTTAGAAACAGCAGTGTGGCTCTGTAAAACACACAAGCAGTTGTTCTTTCCATTTAGACTGTTGTAGATGAAGTATTATGTGATTCAGTAACCATTCAGAAAAACAACAAGATTTTAGCCTAGACTCCCCCAATTCATCCATGATTTATGCATTACACCCTTTCCTGAGGTTATTTTTGTACAGCTTTTGGGAAATTTCTCTGTGCAAACCTGATTTTTCCATGGAAGTCTTTCCTAAATGTTCCTTGTTCAGTCCTAAATAAAAAAAAACATGGCTTGTTCCACATATATATTGCTCACAGGCATGCAATTACAGTTTACAGCTGCTGCTGAGCTTTGATAGAGGGCTAATTATATAAACAAACCTATTATTACTCGGCCTCCTCTGAGCACATAATACCCTGGTTTAGTTTCACATACAGCTAAAAAAGTCATCTTTATTTAGAAATGTCCCAGAGCTGTACTGGTGCTATTTTGTCTTTGGATGATGACCAAATATATACAAAATGTGACTTAGAAGTTATGGAAAACCAAAAACATTAAACTTCAGCTGTCTGTAGTTAATTTTTCAGTGTTTTTCCAGTGAGAGTCCTTGGTGTTCTTCTAGATTTTTTTGTAAGTTTGTTTTGTTGGTGTCATTGTACTGTGGTTTAAGGGTTTAGGGCTGGAACTGTGGAAATCTTCTACCTTCAGCCATATTCCAGTTGTAGTAGTGGCTTTCCTCACTGTGCTATGCTAGAGATGCACTCTTTAAACACACAGTGTTTCATATAGCTTAATGCTTACCAACAACCAGCTAACCAAGTGTTGGCGGCCTCTCGAGCAGACGGTTAATACAATTGTACATTTTACTAATTCAGTTCAATTTTATTAGTATAGTGCAGTTTACAACATATGTCATCACATAGTGCTTAACATGGTCAGGTATGGACCTTACAAACCAACCATATGTAGTATCAGAACGCTTGTGCGAATAAGCAACATGAACTATAAATAGATACTCCGTATTTCCAGCAGCAACTGTGCTCTTGGATTCATGTATGACAAATGCATTTTGTTCGTAACTAGGGAGGCAAATTTTAAATAAATCTTTTAACTGGTATTCATCTGCCTCATCAATCAGTAATCGATTAATTATGTATGTTATTGCAGATAAAGTACAGTGGGCAATTGTCCAAAATAGTTTTAACTACGATCACATGAGGAAAAGCGACTTTGTAATTTTTCTCACTTTGGTTTTAGACTTCAGCTTGTGTTCATTTTAGCAGCTCTGGTCCGAAACCATTAAATGTCACAGAAGTCTTTGACATGTTACAAATGCCTACATTGCTCTCTGCATGCCGACACGGACTTGACAGTACTGTAACTGACTGCCTCTTGGAGCTGTGACACTCTTTTTTTTTTTCCCTTCTTAAAAAGTGAAACCTTGTCATGCCACCAGGCACACCACAGCAAATGCACAATACATTTTTTTTTTTTTTTTTTACGCACATGTCCTTCCTTTTTCTGCCTTATTGGTTAATATATTTTTAAACAGTTGAAGCAGTAACAGCAGTTATTCGATTCACTGACAATCAGGAACATACCTAGTCATAATGATTGTTGTTTAGTTGGATGCTGTGCATGGTGGAGTTGGAGGTGGCGTGTACAATACAGTGCACACAGACGAGCAAGTTGTGGAAGTAATCTGATGTCAGAATGTTTGTCGCACAAAAAATACGCCTTGCTTCCAATGAAAAAAGGCCATGCATTATTAGTCTATGTGTTCATGTGTGATGTGCTTGTTAGTGACTTCTTGGTGTCAGGTGTGTGTGTGTGTTTCTGATTTATCTCTGTCCTTTAAAGACAGTGAATAGGTTACTATCAACCCCGGAAAACATTCCTAATTGGTGATTAACCTCTTGCTGAACTACGACTGATTTCACAAATCAGGACAAATAGTCTTTCTGTCTGACTCTGACTGTCTGTCTTCCCATCTTTGTCTAGCATTTGGAAATATTGTTTCTGTCATTGTGTGTGAATAACGAGGGTCTAGTGTAATAATTGCATTTCCTTCCTGCACGTCCCTTTTTCCCCTCTTGAGATGTCCACCTTGAAATATGGCTTCATTTATCATATATATATGTTTACATGTTTGCTACAGTTGCAATTGAAAAACACATTTGGCATATGTGAACACCTCAGAACCGTGACTGTCCTACCAACATTTTTTCCTCTGCTCTTCATATTGAGCCGTGCAGCCAACCATCAAATATGCGGACGTCTGCATGCTTGTCTCATTTGCATACGCTGTTCTATAGGACTTGGGCTTGTATGGACAAGGCAGAAACACGTGAACTGCATATGTCGATGGGGGGAAATAATATAGGGCCTCACACTCAGCTCCAAGACATCAATATCTAAAAGTGAGCTGTTCATTGGTGCTTCATCAGCCCAAAACAATTATTTGATATTGAGGTGCCCCATGAGTTTCTTAAAAAGATCTGTTAAGAAAAAAATCATTTGGCTAATTAAAAGATGTTTGTTTTCAAGTGCTTCGAGGCTGAAAATAACCATGGTCACATCTTCAGGCTAATAAAACGTCATTGTCACCTAATTAAAGACCTTTTTGCGTTAGGTCTTATTTATAGCCTGAGCAAAATTTGATCCTTGAGGCCAATACTTACCTCAATATCTGTGAGAAAGAAAAAAAAAAAAACGTACACAAATATATACACAAGTGACAAATTAAAGGAAAAATCTGAACCTTTGACTCCTGCAGAGAGGGGATCTGGTGGCTTTGTGCCTAGTGACAGATCAATACAAAGTTGTTCTGAGTGATTACCTTTATCCTATGATGAGAAAACATTTTTATCCTGATGGGAGTGGTCTCTTCCGAGCTGAGAGTGCTTTTCTCTGTAGGGCACAAGGGGTCACTTGATGGTTGGTGAGAATGAAAACGATATGAATCATATGCTACGGCCCTCACAATCACCAGATCTAAACCCGAGTGAACATCTATGGGAGATGTTGGACTGATGTTTTAGACTCCATCTTCACCACCATCATCAAAACCCTTAATGAGCGAATATCTTTTTTAGGACCGGTGTTCCTCCTTGCAGTGAAGTTTCAGAGTTTTGTAGCATCAATGTCATGTGTATTGAAGTTGTTTTGGTGGCATGTGGTGGCCCAACACCTCACTAAGACACTTCTTGTTGGTTTTCCTGTTCAAACAGAAAGTCAAAAAGAAGCTGTTTTGATGTGTATCCTGCAGATTTGAGATTTTTTTGCCCAATCAAAAAAGAACATTTTAGATGAATACTAAAATTTTAATTGCCTATTGATTAATGTAATGGTGATATTGTTGCCTGGTCAATTAATCGGTCTGTCTGTTTTTTTGTTTTTAATATACTAACTATTAGTCTTGAATTACATCCTAAAGTTTCCATTTTTGTTCAATATGAAAAGATCACATCAGTTATGGACACTAAAAAAACATGCATAGCAATTGAAAGCATGTCGAATATAAAATGAGCGTTAAGTATCATATAGGTCTTGGGCTTTAGAATACAGTTTCTATCTTTTGGCCTTCTGGCCATTGATCTCTTTGGCTGGTCAGTGACCTGACCGAATCAACACTCCAGATGGATTTCAGTAATAGTCAAACCAGTTTGACTGACACAAACCAGTTTTTCCTCTCTTTGACCCTCTAAGTTCCGGATAGAGTGATAAGAAATGGTAAAATATCGGGTCACCTGGTCCCCCAGGTCGAGTAGGTGCATCTCTGTGGTCGGTCAGACTGGCAGGACTTTAGTGTCGTGGAGGTCAATGTTCACGCTTAGTGTTCAGAGGTAATTCACAACCATCACTGTACATAAGCACCTAACTGCTCTACAAATATATGATAATAAAAATGATGTATTAAGATTCAGGAGATAACTCCAATGTAGACTTTTTGCTTGTTGGTTTTCACCTTCAAACAAATTAGATTTCTTTTGTTTTCCTCTGTTCAGGATGTACGCCCACACATATTATGCTTACTTGCTATCTCGGTCTCTCTCTCTATGTGACAGCTCTGGGCTCTCAGTAATATCAGAATATTGTGTTGGTGAGGGTTTTAACAGTGAATTTCTCACTGCTTGTTGTTAGAATGTCTGTGAGTTTAGCAGTTTTTATTCTGAATTGAGTCATTATGTAAGATAACTGTGTAGTAATACAATTACAGTACACCAACATTGTTTCCTTGCATTTTGGCTTATCATATTGTTTGTCTTTTAGGTATGCCATGGCCCTGTACAACCAGCATGTCTGCCCTGTGGATAATTGGTATGTTGCTTAATCTGTCCTGTATTTTGCTTCATCATACCTGTGTTGATCTCTATAGGCTCATCCCTTGCAGTCAGCCTTTAACACGATCAGGGTAATTAGACCTACCTTGATCTACAAATCGTTTTCTTTTCTGAATCCAGTTACCTCTTTTGCTACATTAAATACTGAAATCGTTTCCTGGTCCGTCACCTAACAAACATTGGAGAGATTGAACAAAAACCAAAAGAAAAAAATGCAGAAAACTAGTTAAGCTGTGAGACTAATAGCATTTATTACTGTTCTAAGGTGATGTGCTGTTGTGGAGTAAGTCTGGATGCTGTGTTTTTTTGTTTGTCAGAGAAGTTGAGGTTAATCTCTACCAGCAGAGCTACTATTTGATGACGCAGTGATTTTCTGACACTTTGACTCACCAGCCCGGAAAAAAAAAAAAAAAAGAAAGCCTTTGTTCCCAGAAAATGGCTCTCAAACAAAAACAATACTGTTACTGTAATGTGATCTAAAGACTGAGTACATTTATTGTACCACACATGAAATATTTATACTTGACAATCTACGAACTTACAAAAATAACCAGAAGTATGTCTTTGTTTTGGCTGTGAATCTATTTTTGTTGGTCTGTGATTTTTCCAGTAGAACTGAAGTTCTGACGTAAAATAAATGTGACTTTGCACCATATGTGTATTTTTTAAGATTTACTTTTGCATCTTTTTTTTTTTTTAAATGTGTGTGCTCATGTTTGGTGTATGTTTGGTATTCCAGGTTGTACAACCAGTCGTGTGAAGAGGAGCTGTATTTGCAGAGCGGGCCCTCCTTGTGCTGCACGCTAGACAATGTACCTCTCATCAGGTCAGTGAGATTCCCACCCTGAACCGTCGCCACTCTACCTCTTCTCTCGCTCTCTCTTTTTTCTGTCTCTTTGTTTCTCTGCTGGTTAAAAACAGGAACACTGTCCCATTGTTTCACATGACCCCTGTCGGCACATTGTTGATAAAAAAGCGAGTGAGCTCGAAGGAGACAGTTCTCCTGAGCGTGTCTGTGTGTGTGCCTTCTGAAAATAACTTGTGGCTGAAATATCCTGCCTGCCACCGTGGCAGTTCAGACGCAAAACATGGGTCTACACTTAACCATGTAAACATGCATGCAGAGGAGTCGGCTTACAGTTGGGAGGAAATCAAGACACTCCTGCTCCTTTGTTTAGCCTCTCGCCTCCTGAGCTTTCAACATCAAAGGCCGGTTGTAGCACATAAATGCTGCGGTTTACATAAAAAACTTGGACCAAAGCAAATAAATCACTGCTTGTTTTAATCTAAACACAGATTATATAATATTGTACCCGGAAAGACTCCTCAAAATATATGTGCAGCTACAGATTAACAGAGAAACTGTCTGTGTTGCAAAAGGTAATCTTTAATAGCGCTTCAGTGATGCAGTCCTGGTAGTGCTGTTGTTGCATAATCAGCTGAAGTGATGAAGGTGGAAGAGATTCACATTTTTAATCGATGTTAAATGTAGGGCTGTTGTAGTCCCAATTAAATCAAAGAGTCTCCTAAAAAGTGCAAGCATTAGTACGAAGAATTTTACATTTCCAATCTATGTTCTGAAGAATGTGTGTGTGACCACAGTCAGCTGAGAAGGCTTTGGCTTTGTAGGCAGCAGGAGCTCGGGCACAGACAGCCAGTGTTGACTGTCTGCTGGCTTCCCCTCCTACAAACGTTTCCCATTCCTAGAAGAGAGGCAGTATGTAGTAGGTGAAAAGTCAAAGACATGACGACGGGATGTTGGGAATCTGAGTGTTACAAGCGTGTATTTCACGAGCAGAAATGCATCTGTGACAGCGTGCTGTATTTCAGAGTGAAGAAGCTGCGGCGTAGTGTGCACAAGTTGACTCACAGTGTTTCTCTGATTCATGTCTGTTTACTCTTTCTTGCAGCAAATGTGGGACTCTCCCTCCTGAGAGCTGCTTCTTCAGCCTTATCTGCAGCACAGGCTCATTCATGGGTAAGACACACACATCCATCACTTCAGTGGACATTACACCGACTTACACTAATTGCCTGGACACCTACTCTAACCGCAACTACCTTCTGCCTTACCCTAACCTTACTCTAAAGGACTTGTTTTTGTCCCCTAAAAGAAGACGGGCCCCCACAATATGACTTTATAAGCATATTTACGACCCAACAACATGAGTAACACAAGTATGCACACAACCACTAAGAGCCAGTGAAAGCCCAGCATGTGGTCGTTTCGAAGGGAACACGGGCAGAAATTAGCACAAATTTTGCTTTTTTGTTCTGCAGAATTCTGCACATGTGTTCAAGCGTAGAGACTGTGTATTTTACTGGACACAAGGAAAATATGTGCGATATAAAGGAAGAGAATGATCGCCCATGTGCCAGTCTGTATGTCTTTTGTAAGTCTACACGTGCTGTTGCCCTGTGTTCATTGGTGGCTCTGACTACTCTGATCTAGTTAATGTTTCCCAGCTGTGGTTTAGACTTGCTGCGTGCGTGCGTGTGTGTGTGTGTGTGTGTGTGTGCGTGCGTGCGTGTGTGTGTGTGTGTGTAAAAAGCAGGGAAGAGAGTTGTGTTTTTTTTTTTTTGTCTTGTTTGTGCCCATGCTTTTAGCAGCTATTTAAGGCTGATTGGCTGACTCTGGACCATTTCTTGTAGTTTCCAAAATAACTTGCAGCACTGTAAGTTGTTTGTTGAGCCAAATTACAGCTCTGGTCTTTGCCTATGGCAGGAATGGAAGAGGCTTTCTGTGTCGTATGTGTTTTTGTGTATGGAGACAGTCTATACAGTAGCTTACTGAGGTGTAGGATAGAAAACAGGCTATTGCATTTAAGTGTGAAGCCTGGTCAGACAGCAGTGAAAGTCCACTGTGTTTGAGCAGTTCTGTTAGCCCACCATGAGCCCTGTGTACATATATGTATAGATGTATGTCCAAAAAAAAGGAAGACTAAGTGACTTTAATAATTGAAATGTTGTCCAAATTGCAGTATGGCCTACATAGTTAAAAAAAAAAAAAAAAGCGAACCTGTTGAAAAAAGCTGTGAAAATCTATAAATAAATAAATACTATTGTGTTGAAAAACTGTAAAAGCATTAAAAATAACACCAAATATCTGGAAAATATTCAGATATTATGTTCTGCAGACACATTCATTCAGAGTTCAGTTATGTGGCAATCAAACAGCGTAGGTTTCAAAGCCAAACTGTCGCCACTGTTGGCTTCATTTCTCAACTATGATGGTGTTTCACTTACTCAGTTTAGAGGTAGTTCCGTTGTAATCTTACAATGCACCGTGTTTACCTACAAAGACAATCTTACACAACATGTGTGCAATATAACCGTGAAATAATGATGTCTGGTTTAGAATTACCTCCACTGCTTCCACCCATAGGAACAGGACCACCAAGATGTCTTATAAATTCAAAAATCTTAGCAAGCAGTCCATCAGAGTTGAGTACAGCATTACGCTAAAGGTTTGTTTGCAGTGTGGGCTTCCAGATAGTAATGAAAATCTAAGCTCACAGGTTAACGTCAGTATCACTTTTGTCATTGTTGCTTGTTGCCAAAACCATAAAAGAAGGCAGTAAAATAAAATAAGCCAGAGACCAGGGGGCGCCTTATGACATCCACAGCCAGTAACAAGCGAAGACACATTTTATTTAAAAGGCAAATTGCTGATGGATTAAAATGCTTCATGTGTCTGTTTATGTCAGGTCTTTAGTTATGAATGTGGTTTACAAAATGGTAATGTTGTTTTGGGTGACGCTGATTTTACTGGAGACACCAGGTACGTCTGTGCAGATAGTTTCTAGGCTGTGGGGTTTAACTGGATTATATAATCTGACTGATACTGAATATTTGAGGAGGATGTGGGTAGTGTCATTTGGAGGAGTAAAATAATCAGATAACAAAAAATCTGCCAGTAATAGAGCCAGTAGAGCTACAAATGAGTAGTTGATTAATCACATAATCAATCAGACAAGAGGAAAATCCAAACAAACAAAAAATGTACCAGTGCAGCTTTATAAATAGAAAGATATGCAGCTTCTTTTTGTTTTCCATGATAGCGAACTGAATATAGTTGGATTTTGGTCTGTTAGTCAGACCACACAATGAATTATAACATGATTATCTGACTTATTATTAGATTTATCAGTAAAAATAGTTGCTAGCTGCAGGCTTACATAAAACTTGATATAGATCATCTGCTTTTAAGTTAATAACCGAGTTAGACATTCAGTGACTGTGGAAGAATCTTCTTCTCAGTGCTGTTTGTTGAATAAACTACGTTATAATAGCACTGTTTCAAAATTATCTCACACCTGGTCAGATGAACGTGCGACTGCCTCTGCAGGTGATTTGGTTGCTCTAATCTTGAGGTCAGATTGGGTGACTTCACAGTTGCCTTTTATGTTTATTTTGGCACTCATTCTGAACACAGCAAATGCTAATACCAGTTGTGAGGCGCGTTATTATGTCTCTACAAAAGTGGGTTAAGTTGGTGTGGTATGTAGCTATACAACAGACTATTGTAAATAATCTGTTCTTAGCTTGTTAGCCTATTGATTTATGCCCTACTTGTAAGACGGTGCCTGCTACAGCTGGCTCAGGGTTGCACTGGTAACTGGGATAACATGGACTCAGTGAACTGTATATTGCCTCATAATTATTCTTCTTTTCATCCCAGTTCCCACCTTTCTGCCAGTGTACACACTCGATGTTTTAAAGACAATGTGTATATTCTTTCTCTGCGTGCCTCCTGTGGGAGAGAATGCAGCCGGGTGTTTGGGTTGTAACGTATCCCCTTGTGGGGACGGGGGAGTTTGTTTTACTGTGAGGTGTGGTGTGGCTGAAGTGACTTTTGTGGGAATATGCCCTTGCGTGCATTCGTACTGGCTTTTGTCCTGCTATGTGAATGTGAAAGCAAAAGCAAATCAGTACTTGCGACAGCGTGGTTGTATATTATGTCCATGCTTCCAATCCATGGCAGAGTAACGGTGGTATGTGTGCAACGTTGGTGAGTAAGTGTTTTTACCGGCATTGCACTTCCTCCCTTGGGCTTCCTGATTCTAGTGAAAGGGAGTAAGAACTGGAATGGGTTTGTTTCGTTTTTTCAGTTTTGTTTTTTTTTTTGCTGGGAAAGGCATGTTCATGCAAAATTATTCCTACCGTTGAGCTGTCAGACAGCAGCTTGTTCTGACCTTCTCGGGCCAGGCGGAGGTCAGCCGTGCTGCTTACTCATCGGACATGAAACCCTGCTGGAGCAGCCCTTGACCTCAGCATGACATGCATCCTCAAAGAAGGAAGCCAGAAAACAGGCTACACAGATGCACTGTTAGATTGCCCAAAAGATAAATGTGAAAGAAACATGGATATGCTTTAGAGACAAAACGGGTAAATGTTCTTTCTTGTCTTTAACCTTCAGGCCCAGCTTTCATCATTTCATGGTGACTGTTAAATGCCAGCAAGTTTAAACATGCTCATTTGTTAGGATGAAACAGTCATTTTGTCTAAACAGAAAAAAATCCAGAGCAGCAGGGGGGAGAACAAGATGCTGCCATCTAATGAAATAAACTGCAGCTCACTGTCTTATCCCTTCAGCAACACAGTATGTTCTCCATTTTAGAAAGGAGCTGGGAAATAATGACAAGATTGTTTCCGAGCCTGCAGACACTGCTGTTTGTTTTTCCATGATTGCAAGTGAAATCACTTTGCCATGATGATTTTAGGCAACAGAGGGAAGCTCACACAAACACAGATATGTGGTCATGAGGATTTTAACCAAAAAAATAATAAGAAATATATATTTCACATTGCATCATTATATCTGTTACATTAGCTTCAGCCAGAAGCCCTGTAACCATTGCATTGGCTACATGTTTGTCTGCATGGTCCCTTTTAAACAAATGTTTTTTGTTTTAATTTGTATTCATTGCATCATTTCAGCGAGCACACAGTGAACTGTGTGAATAATGCAGTGATTGTGTTTACTCAGACAAAATAGATTCAGACCTTAGTAATCCTTACATTTATACTTTCTGGTGGTTAATAATATTGATTGATATACTGTATGTGACGTACGGTCTGAGTCCGTCTGCCGACGTCAGAGCTGTGGTGGAGGTATGTTTTCAGTGCCATTAGCTGATTCGCCAAAACTACCGGACAGAATTTAATAAAACTTGATAAAGAGGCTGAGGATAGGAAACTCATTACATTTTATGTCTTTCACCCCATATTTCCTTTCTTTCCCGTCCAATAATGATAACATATGCCAAAAAATGATCTTAAAGGAAAAACACGCTAACATTGGACAGCTGCAGGATAAACAATGATAATTGTTTCATACTGAGGTTGTGGCTAGGTTATGAAATCTGTCCGGTCATTGAGACGCTGGCTTACAGCCAGACAGGCCACAACACATCCAAACCCTGACTAGTAGAGACAAAGCTTTGCATTGTTACGTTTGTCTTTCCACTCCATGACTTTAGTTTCCATTTTTATTCTCTTCTGGCACCACAGACCCTCTTAAAGCCCGCCTCCTACACAGAGATAGTGACAGAGTTAACACAACAGTTTAGTCTTTCAGACAATATATGAGCTTCAGGTTAAGACACGAGAGGGGCTCCTTGTCCCCTCGGATTCTCTCAGCCTCCTCACCCCCTATCCCTCGCTTTCACCAAGCCCAGTCAACCTTCATCAAGCACCAGCCGTGAGGAGCTAACAAAGAGAAACCAAGCGGGGGTCAGCTGCTCGGTGCACCAACAATGCACCCAGTCACAGCCTATTAGCACATCAGCACTCATCTGTCCCATATACTGTACTTAGTTCCCCTTCACCTTTTAATCTTATGCAAGACTTGGATCAACCCCCACAAAAGTGTCTTTCACACTTTCCCGCCATTTCCTGCCGCTCATATTTTCACTGGTTAGGCAGAGAAATGTTACTTCCTGTAACTCTCATTAAGCTCCAATGAGTTCTTGTGTTTCTTGGCTAAGTGAGCTGAGCCGGTGTTTGCATTAAATTAAAGCCAGGCCCATGTGCATGGTTCTCTTCCAACAATAAGCAAGGTGATACTTTTTCTCCCTTTCTTAAAGCACTTTGCTCTTCCAGTGGTACTGTGCAGTGATTTTAACATGTGATCAATGCGACTGACCCTTCTTCTTTGTCTCTGTGTCTCTTTATTTCTTTCTCTCTTCTTGTAGTTATGGTGATTGTGCTGCTCCGCTATGCCCACGTTATTGAGAAGCATCAAAACTGTGTTCTCAACACAGCGAGTCTTTCCACAGGCTGGATCTGTGCCGCTGGACTCATTATGGTGGGCAACTTCCAGGTATGTTCTTCGAGTTTATTCCCCTAATAAAACAAACACAGTGATAAAATACAACATCCATGTTTAAAGCAAAAGATATACAAGACAAATACATGCATAGTACCAGCGTTCAGTCTGGGAAATCCAATTAACACAGGAAATGATATGAGGAAATGATAAATGCTGACTGTGACTATAAACAATGAAACATAAAACTGAATGCAGAAGTACATCTTCTAAATCTGTTTTTTCAGGCAAAATGAAAAAAAAATCTCAGATTCCAGTTTCTATAATGTGCTGATTTAAAAAAAATAAGTTTAGTGGTCTTACATCCATGTTCAAGATCATCGCCTTAGTAGTTGAATATCTTTGAGATTCTAGGATGTTATAGTCTGCATTTTTCACTGCTTTCTTATGATTTATAGACCAAACGCTTAATCAGTAAAATCATCTGCACATTAATCAATCCAAGATCGTTAGATGCAGCCCTAAACAGAACTACATATCACTAACTGTGTACGACTCAGCTTCTATTATGTCTGCCCTTTAATCTTCTTCCAATGACCCTTTCTCTTCTACCTCTTTATAACACACAACTTGTATTTCAGTGCACATATTCAACAATGTCAGTTAAATTGTATTCTGCATTGATGAACAACAGACTAAAGCTGCTCTTTGTAGTAGTTTAGTGGTAAAACCCAACTTGGATCCCTTCTCTGTAGATATTTGTTCTTTGGGAAAGAATTTCTTGAAGTTTAAATATTTGTAGCCCTGGCTGGATGCCTAGACTGTGTGTGTGTGTCTGTGTCTGTGTGTGTGTATACACTTGTATTACTTATTTTGTAGGGACGTAATGCTGTCACATTGTGAGGAGCAATCTCCCTTTTTGGGCACAGAATTCAAGTGCCCATAATAATAAATAATAATAAAAAAAATAATGTCCTCTGAAGTGATGTGCGTGTTACTTTTTCAGAACGAAAGAGAAAAAAAGAGAGAGACGTGGCTTTCATGAGACTTCTCTGGTATTTCTCTTGAAATGAGGAATTTGGTTCGAGATTAAACAGAGACATTGTGGTTTCTACCCTCAGTGAAGTCTTGTTATCATACTTGTATTGGCCTTCAACTTTTAAAACATTGTTCAATTGTTCACTGTTGATCGGAAATAATGGGCGAGAGACAAACAGGGAGGCGGCATGCGACTTGTGATGACCAAAATGCCCCTTCAGTTTTTGATAGTTATTTAAAAATGTCCTGTGTGGTTAAAGTGTATATTTAAAAAAAAAAAAAAAAAAAACACACTTTAATATGAAGTAGAACAATGTCTCTTTGCATGTATCTGTTGACATTCTTAAGATGCCTTTACCAGAAACTTGCCTCTCAGCAGTATTACAGCTTTCAGTATTTGGTTAAATGTGTTCATGGTGAAATCTTGGCACTATTTTCTCTCCACTTGCATACTTTCTTTTGTGTGCTTAAGATAGTTTGGTTAATAGAAGTGGATGCAGATGTTTTCACTGTCACATACATTTATCCTACAACTTTATGATGTGTAAGTTAGCATATTGTTAGATGTGGAACTGAATAGCGGGAGCTCCTTCATAAGGGGCTGCACTGATTCTGTGTGTCAGGTGTGCTACAGATGAGACGGATGCTTAGCTTAATGTTTTCTGCGGGTGACATGACATCTTAGTTAAACTATGCATGTCTGAAGGTCACTGTGTGACGAGGAGGAAGAATCTTTTGACAGGAGTGTGTGGAACATATGTGCAGATGTGGCAGTTTTTGTGGGAGTGCAAGGAGGTCGTCTTCACCCTCTTCCCGCTTCTCCTCCGAGGCCTCTGCTCTGCAGAAACTGGGAGGAATTTTACGGGAAGAGCCAGGGGGAAGTGAGTCATCAAGTCTGGCCATGCATGGAGAAGAGCTTGGCAGACAGGGTGTGTGCAGTAGAGGCCCCATCTATAACCAATCACGAGCCCGATCCTTGCCGCCAGTTTACAGACTGCCCTTTCTTGCAGTCGAGGATATTCCAGTGGGATGCAAAGAGAGATGACACTGATAGTGAATAAACTGTTGAAGCCACATGAAAGCATAAAAATTCTGCTGCAAAATTAAGCAAAGACCCAAATTCACAGTATACACATATGAGCTGAAGATCCACAGCACAAACAATGAATCAGAGGGGGAAACGAAGCAAGCGTCTGACAGCCAGAATCTAAACCCAACAGATCAAAGGGAGTGAAAGCAACAGAAACACTAAAACACATGGTACTCTTCAGTGTCAACTGCTTCAGTTTGTAGTCGTGTGTTACATAAGACTTTGGCAGCACAGCTGTGGTGTAGCCACTGGGGCTTTTCCTGTCAGGCGGTCTGATGGTTTGGGCAGAGAAGCGCATAAATAGATGATGGAAAAGCACATTGCCGCCACATAGAGGTCCATGAGTGTTACACGGCTGGGTCAAAAGCTGCCGTCAGGAAAAGGACAAAAAGATAGAGGACAAGGAAAGATGACTGGGCTGCTAATCCCACTTTTGCTGAGTGTTTGATGAGAAGATCACTTGTCACTTATTTTACCAGCAGTCCAGCTTAACAAAAAAAAAAAAAAAACAGGAGGCATGTAGTTAGCCTAGTTGTATCTAAAGGTAAGAAAAACAAGCATCTGTAAAGTTCACCTGCTATAAAACGTTAATCTTTTTTCCAAAGTTGTGATTTTGGACCCTGCTAAAAGTCTGATGGAAGGGCTTTTGTAATCGGTGGTGGCGACACTTTCCGTTAACAGATTTTGGCAGGCATTTGCCACAGCAGGTGTGTTGTAAACGGTTGGACGTCAGAGACTCACTTCATATCTTTTAGTTCTGTTTCCAGAAAGTCGGAACTGAAACTGACAGAAAACGTATCAGTTGAGTTTGTTCCCATATGAACATCCTCACATCTCTTATTACTCTGCATATTTTGTATCACTGACTTGCAATACACTCTCCTTTAAAAACAGTGTTTTTAAAAGCAGAACTCAGTAAACCAGTTTCTTTCAGATGATTTACCAGTGAAGCATACACATATCCAGAATCCCTGCAAGGCACACACACTTGCTTAGTTAAGTGTATTTGAATTTATTGGAGAAGTTTACCATAGTTCCTATACAGAGCATGAAAGTGATGAGTTTATCATGAGTTTATAGGTATTGTTAATTTTCTAATCTTCGTTTCTATTTGGGCTTTTACACAAACAGTGTGATAAAATACACAGCTTTCATTCTCATGAAACCACCACACTTGGAAGTACAATGAAATACTTAAAATACATCACTCATGATGTGTACGGGAAAAAGAACAAGAAAAAAATAGTTAAAATGACTACAGATCTGGTTTGCATTTAGCGAGCCTTTTATGTTTTGTTGTAAAAGCTTATATATCTGTAAATAATTTGATTTCAGTTCGTAATGTGTTTCAGAATTGACAACCATTCCGACTACTTGCCGCTGACTTTTTTCTTTGGCAAGTGTGAACTCAGTGTGAACACCATTACTATTCATTTATGCAGGCGAACTGCTGGTCAGTGTCAGCCTGCAGGAACTGATTTATCAAGCTGATCTTGTTTAGTCATCAAGCTGCATTTCATGTGGCGACAAACACTGCAGAGGATCATGTCTGTGTACTTTAAGAATGCAGTGAAGGAGATGTGACCAGTTTGTTAGAAAATATCACTTTTTTCTGGAAATGATTTCAGCAGTGACTAACAAAGGCCGGCACTCAGAGGAATGTAGTTTCTGATGAACACATGTAGCCGTAATAAGAGATGCTGCCGGTCTTCTTGTCATCATTTCCCTCCTTTTACCTCTCCTGTTTTTCCTGTTTATTTCTTCCATTTGATTTGAAGCCACATTTTTGCTCTTCTCACTTCTCTCAGATCACTTTTTCATCTTTGTCATTATTTCTCCTCCCAACCCCCATCCAACCATTATCTCAATTTACGTTGGTGACACACCGCGTGGCACTTATATACTGTGTAAAGTTTGAAAACATGGCAAAAGTTTACTTGATGCCTTGATACATCGTGAAGGCAGCAGGTAATGACAGCAGTTAGTGATGTCATTTGGAACGCCAGCTAGCATCTACACAAATACACAATCAATAAAGATTTTAAAGCAGTGTGTCAACAAGATGATCCTCAAGCCTAAGGGGACATCCTCAGATTTCTTGAAAAGAAAAATTACAAGCTTTAGCTCAATCATGTTCCATCTTTTTTACTAGTATTTCAAAACCAAAATAGCTGCAGATTTATGTTCTGCAGATCAAACTGTTGCATCTCCTGTATGAAGGAAGCTACGTCAACTAGAACACAATGAAGGTGCCAGGAGAACAAGCATATGCTTGTTTTTGTTTGTGCGTATGTGTTTTATTATCACTGAGTTACTGAGTAACAGATTGGCAGCACTCAGTCCCAACAGTGCCAATAGGATGTAGTTACAGTAACTGTGGGGGTGATGCAGGAGAAGAAATTGGATTCTGCAATAACCAGTTTACTATTTAGGGCCCTAGATTAAACAGAAATCTTACTGGAAAGAATGCATGGCTTTTTGGACACATGACAGTAAGACCCGGCCATGATTTCTTTACGTCTTTACTTCCAACTCAGGAGATGCTACAGGCAGATCTATGATCTCTGCTGTATTTGCTACTCCTGTTGAACTGTCTGGAAATCCCACATTGTCACTTCCAGGAATAGCCCACTGCACAAGAATGTTCAGAATGCACTAGTCAGGTCAATGGACAAATGGCTCAGAAGCCAAAACTAAATAACTTCTAGGTTATTGGTCTAATGATCCCTGAAAATTATGTAAAACAGACGGACATTGTTATTCCACACTGGTTTTAGCTGTTTAACGTTAGCCAAGAAAAGCAATTCTTTTTCTATCTGACTAAATTAGTCTAGTCCCTAAATGTGTTTCTAGTTATGGTTAATGCACCATTGAATCTCTTATCTGCTCAGATCAGTACATCTGAGCTGTGTATGTCTGTGTGTGTGTGTATGTGTGTATATGTGTGTGTGTGTGAGAGAGAGTGAGTGTGGACCCTTCAGTGGGAGCTGTGGTCACATGCTCCCGAGCAGCTCTTTTGTGTATTGTTTCTTATCGTTCTTGTGACCAGCAGGGAAAAGGAGGCATTCTGTTGTGTTGCTTGCTCCTGTCATAGCCTGTACGTTTCACTTATTCTTCATTGCCTTCTGACTTAAACAAGTCTCAGAGGCTTCAAGCAGAGTATTACCCTCTGCTGAATGATCTGACCCAACAGCTTGATGCAGAATATAGCTGATGTTGCCCCCTTCTGATCATCCTACATGGCGTTATCCTTTTCGATTAGTGTTTCTCTTGGTGGCCAAACTGCTGGTTTTGTGTCTTATCTTTGTCTTACCCATGTTAATGTAGGCCCTCTTTCTTTCCCGCTCTCTCCTACCATCTTCTCTCCTTACAGGTCGATAATGCCAAAGTTCTCCACTATGTCGGAGCAGGCATCGCCTTCCCCACCAGTATGCTGTTTGTGTGCCTGCAGTCAGCACTGACCTACCGACTGGCCAAGACCCAGGGGGAGTACAACTTGGCCCACCTCCGGCTCTGCATGACCCTGCTGGCCTTCGTAGCCTTGGTGCTCAGTATCCTCACCAGCCAGTAACAGATGGCAGCCTTCAAGGCTGTCAAGTCCTTTAGACTAGTGTGTTGTACTGCAAGCTGACTTAGACACACAGCAAGTATTTCCTTACAGTAGTCAGCGTTGCATACTGTGTGACTTTATGGGTTTTATATATATATATTTAGCTATACAGAAAAGTACATTAAAATATGCTGTCAAACACTTCGATCTGTTTTACATGTCACTTAGCACTGTGAAGCCTCCGATGAACACAGTTTAAAGGAATAATTTGACATTTTGGGAAATATGTTTATTTATTTTTTTCTTGTAAACACCAATTCTTAAATCAGACTGCTAAATATTAACACTAAAATCATTTCATCTGGTGTGGGATGTCAGAACCAAAAATCGGCGTCAGACATGATGGTTATCTTATGTAGCGTACCATAGTTGACAACAACAGATGCTTTATCTTGGACGACGACAAAAAGACGACCAGAGGTTTTTTTTTTTAAACCTATTCTCTCGTCATCTTATAACTTCCGCAATGTTTCTGTGGCGTTGACAAATTGGGTCCCTAAGTGCTCTCCTGTACTCAACATGGCGAAACCAAAGGCAGGCTAGAAACAGCAGATAATGCAAACTGTCCTCCTGGTGCAACTCACACACTGCACAGTTCTTTTTTCCTCTCTTTACAGGCTTTTTCGAACTTAAATTGGCTGGTATTAATCACTCCTGTGTGTACATTATTGTTTCTGGTAGCTTTCAAAGTACTATGATTGGTCGGTGGCAACAATTTATGAGCTGTTATTGCATTTATGTTATGATCTGACACAGCAACAATCTAATTATCAGACACAAATATTAAATTGTCTTCATTTGGCATTAGAAGATTGTTACTAGTAATCTAATAGTTACCATGTTGTTTCTTTAATCTGGACAAAAGCAGAAGTGTAAACACTGCAGTATACAGTGTTACAGAGGGCTATGTCCATGACTATTTCTTGGCAGTGTGCAGTGATTTAGTCATTTTTACAACCAGCCGAGACTCTCAGAAGACAAAAAAGCACAGACATCATGATGCATTTTAATGAGAAGGCTGAGAACATTTTCTTTCATAATCAAAACAAACTCTGTTCTTTTATCTGAGTTTTGAAATAACTGGGTTAAGATTTGAAGCTTGCTGTCAATACAAGAACAGTTAGAGGTAATTTAAGGTGGCAGAATGGTAACAACTCTGGCTATCTATTACGTATAGACAGCTTTGCCGACACGCTGCTTTGCTGTTGTCGTCCTTAACCGTGTTTTCAGGTGGCGTTTTTTTCTGTCAGGAGAGCTTCGTCTTGCAACACGCGTCCGCCATCTTTGAATGGGTGTTCTGCGTCATCATCATGCTGTTTTACGGGACATTTGCCTTCGAGTTTGCCAGCATGTCTGGAGACACCATGGTGATTCTAGCTCGAGGTGGGACCCTGGGACCTGCTGGGAGAGAACACAAGGTGGACGCACTGGGAGCACTGGGAGGGTCCGGCCCACACTCACAACCACATCAACCTGAAAGCATGTCCATCCTGTAGCCTTCCTGGCACATCTCGATGCCACACAGTTGCCTTGTTTATTCCTTTCAAACTTTGGTTGTCGAATGAGTTTAATTATTCATTTCCAGCCACGTTCGCCTGAAGCTTTGAAATGAACCAGGCCAGTGCAGCAGCTGTTCGCGGCCAAGCGGGTGTCGATCCGCCGCCACAGCGGAGAGCTCACTTCGAATTGTGCTCATATCAAGCTAAAGAACTTGTTTGCATTTTGCACATTGCACAAGTGTGAAACCAAATTTTCTCCCAAATCTGTCCTGTCGTCAGCGACCAGCAGGGGAGCAGTTTGTCAATCAGATCATGAAAATCTGCTGCTCCCCCTGAGTTCCTGTGAACTGTCTCAGTATGTGGCCTTGGACCATGTCCTCTTCAGTGACTGCCACGATGGTTTCATTGTATGTAAAGTACAGGCTGCTGGACGGCCTATCTGACAGTATTACAGGAGTCAGACAGAGAGAAGATGGTAGATGAGTGTTTCAGTGGGAGCAAGGTCAGACCTCAGGCTTGTTTTCCTGCCAGAGTTTGGATGAATGCAATAAATTCAATTCAACAGTCTGTCAAATAGAAAGCATAGAAATGTTTTAGTCGATCTTGGAGACAGAACAAGGCAGCAGTCTAGTTTTTGCAATCATTTGAATCTCCTCAAAGCAATATTTGTGATATCAAATAACTCCCTGATAATTAACACACAACCCTACATAGATTTCAGCTGCTGTTATCCGACAGTTTGTATTATTCAGTCCGCACACTCGACTGCATGTTACCTTCCAGCCAAAGATGAGTGAATGATGAAGTCTCAGATATGTTTCTCAGGAGTTGGTTGGCCAAGGCTGAATGGAAAGTGAATGTCTGAGTCCCGTTCTTCAGGTTGACATTAGGATAATAATGTGCTCTGCTGGTGGTCTGATGGGTGCGAACGTTAGCTGTGACAACTTATGTCAGTTTGTTTGATGGTCAAAATGGCTGAATGCAGCTTTAAAATATGCGTCATTTATGTTTAATGGACAACTCCAAATATGCAAGTCTACTCCCTGGACACAGGGTCTTTTTTTTGTCTGCTTTGAGTCCTGTTTCAGATCTTTATTTTAACACTGTACAGAACATTCAGTGGACCCGGTGCCTCATAGATTCAAATCTCATAACTGTTTCTTAAAAAAAAAGTTGGTCTTCTCTCTTATTGTCAGATTGATGATAAACCTGAAAAAATATTGGACTCAACTTCCTCTCTGTAAAAGAATATGAAAGAGGGCTGACAGAGTGTCCAGAGGCCAAATGTGTACCAGCTAATTCAAGCCAGAGCTCTGGCTTTATTGAGTTTAGTGACGAGGCATCACACGTGCTTTCAGGTCCTATAAGGATCGAGGTCTGCATCTTATTATGCCCCAACAAGAAGGAGGAGAAAGTGCTCGTGTTGCTTCACCTACTTGTTTTTCTTTACAGCTCTGCGTAGTTTGGAGTTTTTTCAGCATGTCTAGCCTGTGCAGTGGGATAAAGGGAAAAGGTTTGTGATGTCAGACTGAGATGCACTGTCCTGCCTCTGTGTTATTGTACAAAATGTGCCAAATGTTGGTTTGCCTATGGCATCGGTGCTAAAACACAAAAAGGCCTTATTCTGTCATTTCCCACCTTTCTTTAGCTGTGATTAGAACATCTGATAAAGCAATAAGATGAGACATAGGGTCAATCAGTTACCAACTGCATACAGAAGGTTCTTGTTCTGCCAGACAGACTAATGCCTCGAGAAATGTTCCCTGCTAAGACAACACAGTTGATATTTTTAAGAAATTGTTAACATCTCAGTGTAACATTAACACATGTTGAGCTCTAAGGTGAAAACCAGAGCAAACAGAAGGTTTACAACAGTCATACTCTTGTTAGTTGGTCGTCATTATGCCCTCAAACCACAGCTGGCCACATGTTGGGCAGAGGTGTGGTTATCGTGCCAGTAAAAGTGGGTAGAAGCGGTTCAGCTGCAAACTTGTCAAACATATCTGTTACGGATGGACTGAAATGTAATATTTCACCATCAGGCTGAATGTATACTTTAAACAAGACTGAGCAGGAGAAGCTTGTGCACGCTGCAACGTGGAAGGTTCGCCACTCGATCACTTGCTTCTCCCTACTGGTCAGACAGCTTATTGCATGAGCTTGTGTAGAAGTCACAGCTGGGATTTTGTAGCTCAGCTCACAGGAGATCTTGTATTTCTACTTGAAAAACTATACATGTTTGTGTCCACAGCCAAGAATATTCAGTTGAAGGTCAAGTCTGCGTTCTAAACAGAGACGGAGCTGCTGTCGTAATGAGCAATGCCAAGAACTTGAACACCAGCCTGTGTTTCTGGCTTCAGCTCTCCTGCGACGTTACACTACTTTTACAATATGCATTCCTCTAACAAATCACAGTCAAGACTTGATGCATTCCAAGTATATGGTCAAGTGACGGTGCTGCTCATGCTGCTCTAGCAAGAAACATTTTGCCATTTCACAGTTACAAGATTTTCATGGATGCCTGTTTCCAGTTAAATGCTAAACAGTTTGACATTTTGCCTGCTGCACATCTTTTTCTTCATATTGTATCAGCATCTCCACTTTCTGTCCTTTTTGTTCTTGTTTATGGATCTGTCTGATCTTTGCTCTCAGGAAAATGTTAAAACACCAGCTACGTTGTTTGATTTAAAGGCAGACTGAACTCTGCTTGCTTCTGCCTTTCTGTGGATGAGGATCTGTCGTGTACATTTGTTTTGTTTAGTATAGGCGCAACTGCTTTTTCAGTTGATGGTTAGCCATTGAATATTTTTTGTTAATCAAATAAAGACTCTGTAAAGCTTCAAAAATAAGCATTCCTGTAATGCCAGCTTGTGAGAATGCTTATGCTGCTCACGTAAACGTGGTTAAATATCTGCAAGAAAAACGAGCTTCCTCATGCAATCAGTAGATCATTGGGGGAGCGCGTTCTGACAAACTAACCAGCTCCAGTAAACCTCATCTGATGCTCGATGTCATTCTCCGTTGGACGGCAAAATGCTCCCTGTGCCTTATGTATTGTTTTGATAATGAAAACCAAAGAGGTCTAGGTTGTAAATTCTATTTTGATGAAAAGTCATGATTGTATACATGTATGCCTTAATGTTCAATAAATAAAAAAACTGGGGGAAAAAAAAAAAGCAAAACATTTGAACTTATTTGCACACAAGACCGGAGAATGGTTTATATCTTTATTCTTTTTTATTGTTTAATTATTTACATTGATCAGTTTCTCTGTCAACAAAGCTGACAGAAGATGACACCGATAGATAACACGTTAAATAGGAGGAAGGCCCCTATTTACAAAAAACAATGTCGGCTGTAAAAGTAAGTACGGGTTGTTACGCTCACCACAAAAGTCCTGAACCTCTACAGACATGAAGCCCAAACTGTTAAAAGTGTTAGAAGTGTTTCGGGAGGATAGGATTAAATGCTTTGTGATTAGGCCATAGCAAAAGCTGACTTGAAATTATATTTTCTACATACCCTATGGGGAATCTTTTAATAAACATTCCCTTTCCCCCCCCCCTCTCTAAATCCATGGATTTACAGTCAACAATACAGATCTGCAGTGTAACTCCTCCCAGATATTTTTAGATGAAGCAAAATTTCACAATGAGTAAGAAATTATCAAAAAATACCAGTGAAGAAGTTGTTATCTTCAGCAAAGCAGATCAGCACAAGTTTCTAAACATTATCAAAAAGCTGCAACTTTAAGACACCGGTGGTCCACTAAATGCTTCGGTCTCAACAGTTTTTAAGAGCAAAGAGAGAAGAGATTGATTCACAATCAAGTCAGGATTGTAATTACTTGCAAAAACGAGTCACACTTACAGCAGCAGGTAAAAAAAAAAAAAAGATACGAAAGCCGGGACTGACTGCAAAGAAGAGCAGAATGAAAACATAAACCTGCAAGGCTATCTGACTGATTGTAACATATTTCATGTCTCAGAGATCAGAACTCTCCCCGCGTTTCAATGACCTGTCTTGGTGATTGTAACGGCGCCAACAGCTCGCTGCAGCGCGCGTTACAAAATAACACTCAGAAAAGACATTTTACAGTCACACCGAACAGGTTGAATTATCCTCTAAAGCCAAGCCTTTGGTTGAGCAGTAATTACACGTCCGTACATTAATATGGTAGTCACTGTTGTCAATAGCACCTTTTGAAAATGAAGCACTGAGGGTTTGTTTTTCTTTCAGTACATCACACTGGTCACATAAAGCAAACATTAACAGCTGGGAGGTAAAACACTTAAGTGATACAGAATCATTTATCTTCGGAGGGTTTTATTTGCTGTATCAGGAAAGATCTTTGGCTAGAGGTTGTACTTACATTTATAAAGCACCAATGATTGGATATTTTGTGGGCTGGAAGAGGACGAGGGAGAAAACCTCTCTCTTCTAATTGGGAAGATGTCCCATTATTTGTCCATTGGCTACAACCACTCTTGCATATAATCATCTTCTGACCTCTTTAAAGCTGACTTATACCTCCCTAAACTTTGGCTTTAATTTTCTCTATTAAAAAAAAAAAAAGAAAAAAAAAAGAAAGAAATAAAAACGTCCTATCGGTTGATGGAGCTGGAAGTTGCAGCCCAGGAAGAGGCGTCTTGTTCGGCCTCCAGGCGGGCATCAGGAGAGGCAGGTGGAGTATTTAGACGACAAGCTTTTTGGGCACCTCCCAAGAAAACTCTGCTCGACCAAAGTGGCCATAAGAGGCTGTCTGCTGGTAGATCGGCCTCTTCAGATTCAGTTCCCTGAGGAGGACACAGAAGAAAGGCGAGTGAGAAAGGATTGTAAGCAGGTGGTCTTTGGACAGTAAGGTCAGACAGCAGCAGGGGAGAATGCAGAGGTTTCCTTCTGTTTAAAAGAAAGTTTTTCCTCTGTACTCACTCCATGCACCTACACTCTCTGTGACTCTCATGTCTTGACTTTAACATTTAAAGCACCTTGAGATAGGTATGTGTACTTATAGTAGTAATGTATATTTGTTCATCTTTTAGCTCAGTTGGAAAGCACTTTGGGTCAATGTCTCTTGGTTTAAATGTGCTACACACTTTAAATAAAGGTTACGTGACTAGACCCTATGACCTCAGAGTAAAGCGTTTACCCTGTACCGCCCCCTCAAGGAAAGACTGCTGATTACAATACAGGATTGTAAAAACAAGGATTATGAGCTGTCCTGAGTGGAGAAAATTGTTTGTACAGACTTAGAAGGTGAAGATTTATTTGAAAAGTGAAACTGTATTTGTGTTTTAGCGATGATCTATCACCAAACTAGTTCTTTCAAGATTGTCTCTTTAAAGATGTTGTGTCGTGTGCTGGGCATGAGAACACGTAACACTGTGTAAAATTAATGTAAATAGAACGATGCTTATATCATTAACATTGACCCACTGAACTTAAAATGGATCATGACTGCAATTATAAATAATATATACCTTGCTTTTTTTAAGAGGGCTCAGTCTGTTGCAATGAATAATCAATAATTTTATTGCATCATCGGGTGTTGTGCTTTTCTTCATGCATTTTACAGAAAATACGTTGTACATGTAATATTTTTATCCCAATTATAACAGAAATGAAAATGCAGATGCATAATAAACCAGATACCATCTTTAAGCTGCTATGTGACCGACTTTAGTGCCACCTAGTGGTAGAATCCAAAAAGGCAGTCCTAACTTTTCTGTTGGACTCCAATAAATTATTTTCACTTTTTAATAATATGTATTGGTTGTTTAATTACTTTAGAATTATTTATTTTTCTCGAGCAACCCTCTAAAATTTGTGCTATCTTACTGTCACCTTGTCAGTCATCCGTAAAGCACTCTGCATTGCTCTCCTGCTTTAGTCTATGAAATGTCAGAAAGTAGTTTTCATTTTCATTTACTATCATATTTGACATCGAGAAGCAGCAGTTTCTCATTTCCACTTAACCTTGTTGCAGATTAATGAGTGAAAGACACTAACTTCCATTCTACTTTTCCAAAACTTCAGAATGATGGTCAATCTACTACACACAGTGGTTTTAGAGGAAGCAGTCTTATGTGTGTCTGACAATCACATCAGTCGCATCCATGCGTTTACCTGACAATGACTCCTGGCCGCAGATCGAAGTTCTTGTTGACAATGTGCAGCAGTTCTGTCTCTGTTTTCTGGGAGGAACCGTAGGTGAACAGGGAGATGGACAGAGGATGGGCCACTCCGATAGCGTAGGACACCTGCAGCACATACACAAACATAGATGGAAATGCTTTTATTAGTGACACCGGTGATCCGCACATAACCTTCGACCTCGAGCATGTCTGGAGCTGTGCACTCACCTGAACCAGAACTCTCCTGCACAGCTTGGCTTTGACCAGAGACTTGGCCACCCAGCGAGCAGCGTAGGCAGCAGAGCGGTCGACCTTTGAGAAGTCTTTTCCAGAGAAAGCTCCACCACCGTGGGCTCCCCAACCTCCATATGTGTCTACAATAATCTTCCTGCCTGTCACACCAGCATCACCCTGTTGGGCAAAAAATAGAGGTGGAAGATGAGTAAAAAACACTTTTTTATCAAATAATTTTCTAAATTAAACAGCCGTTTGTGCGTGGTGGTCACCTGTGGCCCTCCAATGACGAAGCGACCGCTTGGCTGGAGGTGGTAGATGGTTTTGTCATCCAAATATTTAGCAGGAACCACAGTTTTGATCACCTGATGGAAATGATTCAGCATTAAAACCAAGTGTGTGACTTTATTTCCTAAACGAGGAATTAGTCAGAGCCCGCTGAGCTGCGTTTCTGAGGCTGTACCTTCTCCTTGAGGACCTTCTTCTGTTCTTCCAGGGTGATGCAGTCGTCGTGCTGGACAGAGATCACAATGGTGTGGACTCTCTTGGGGATCACAGCTCCGTCCTTCTGGTCATAATGTACTGTCACCTGGTGGACGAAAAAGAAGTCAAAAGTTGGTGTGACGTACTGGAAATTGCTCTCATACAGATGTCTACTTCCCTTTCTTTTGTTCTTAATTATCCAATTCTCTGTTCCTTCCAGAGAATGACTAAAACCACTTCTACTATGCTCAGATCCTCATCTTTAGCCTCTCTTGGCCTACTATCTTGTCAGGCTGTTCTTTTCTGGTGTTAAGAGCAGGTAGCTACAGAGTATGGATCACCTAATGGTATGTTTAAACAAGAGCTAAAGACGAATCAAAAACTGTCTTTTCAGATGCCTGGTTTAAAATCTGACCCACTCTCTCCTGCCTCATGTTCTAACAACCAACATTTCACCTGGAAGACTGATTTATTAGCGACTCTCTATCAAAGCTGCAGTCAGCAGCTAGCTGCCTCTAAGTCAGGCAAAAGTCTATTGTTTCTGCAGACAGATTTAACTTAAAAACTTGCAATAGCCACCGTTTATCCGATTTCAAGTGCCGGCATAAAAATAATCTCTTGGAAGACATCCAGAGTGGAAACAAACAACTAATTCACAGAGAGACTGCTGTAGTGTTGTCTGTGTTTTAGGGGATAAAAAAAGGAAAATCGTGTGGGTGCTGTAATGTATAATCTCACCTGTGTTTTGGAGTCAGGACGCAGCCAGGGGATGACGCCGTTGCGTCTGAGCTCAGCCATCTTTGCGTTGAGTTTGTGAGCTAAGACGATGGTGAGGGGCATGCACTCCTCTGTTTCATCCGTGGCGTAGCCGAACATCAGACCCTGTGGAGGGGAGAGAGAATCAGAAACGATGCAGACTGTGAAGTATAATGACACAAATCATCATCATCAGGGAAAAGGTGGGCAATGACAAAATATTAACATGCACAAGAGTCGGCTAGAGATATACTGATATATCATTCATCAGTTCTATCTATTGTCACATGAGACAAAACATTTAAAATAAAGTAAAGCAAAGTACTTTACACAATAATACATAAAGGTAAAAAGTCATGAAAGTCAATGTAGGATACATGACATAGAAGTAAAAAAAAGAATTGTAAATTACAACTACCTACAAGAGTTAAATGGCAATTTTACAACAATTTTCTGTCAAATGGGTGTGTTGAAGTACATGTGTCTGATAATATCTCTATACTGTCACTGAGTAAGATTTAAAATGTTGAACTTTTGTTACACTGAGTACTTTATGCTTTATACTTTAAAACAACTGAAAACACCAGCATTCCTTTCATCAGATGTTGTCTAAATTATTTAACATGTTTATACTGAATCAAACTTTTCTTGTTGCAACAGCCCTACCTGGTCTCCTGCTCCAATGTCCTCCTCCTGTCTGTCGACATGGACCCCCTGAGCAATGTCTGGACTCTGCTGCTCCAGAGCCACCAGCACATTACAAGTCTTGTAGTCAAAACCTAGAGAAGGAAAGTGAAAGTGAGAACGCTGACGACACGGAGCATGAACAGTGTAACCTCGATGCTGCTGCTTTGTTATCGTTTGTTTGTGCTTCGCTTCCCACCTTTGTCAGAGTTGTCGTAGCCGATGTGCTTGATGGTGTCCCTCACCACCTTCTGGTAGTCCACGTTGGCCCGAGATGTGATCTCTCCGCAGAGCAACACCATGCCAGTCTTACACACCGTCTCTGTAAATACGATCAACACACAACATAAGCAATGAGTCTAGCTTTAGGCTTCAATCACTTTAGCTGCTGCAACGCCATCACAAACGTGCTGAGTGGCTCACAATGGTCATCTTGTGACAGTCAGAAGTCAAAACTGAAATACAACGAATTATCTGAGTGTTGCTGATGACTTTACTTCCAAGTGAAATTAATGCTAGTGGGTCAGTTTGTTTATACTCAGCAAAACTGACCACATGTTGCTCCTTAACTTTCTAATGGGAATGTAATAAACAAATGGACATAAGTCTTGATTAAGTAGTTCATGAGCTCATACTGTCATAAATGTGTGCCTTTGTTTCACATTGTGAAATGAACTCGATCTGAGTTCTAGTTTGCTCACCGCAGGCTACTTTGGCATCAGGGTCCTGCTTCAGATGTGCGTCCAGGACAGCATCACTGATTTGGTCACAAATCTTGTCTGTGGAGAAGCAACAAGCATTAAGCGACACAAATAGTTTTCACTTTACAGTTACATTGAGATTTCTAGGCTTGCTTATTTATTACACATTTGATACAGAAACTACATATTGCAGCCCTATCACTGTATGTTTTACATAAAGATAAAAATAATTAGTTTGAGCATCTGTGTCTCCAAAATTTCTCTCGAAGGATACACACTAATATCTCAAACAGGAAGAGCGTTGGATTTTAGTTGTATCCTTTTGATTTCCGTGCAGCAGCAGGACAATGCCTCGCAAACCACTCTGTCATGCTGCTGAGGCAATTCTATGAGCAGGTTACATCAGAACCAACATCAGCATCTGGTTGCTGATGTAAAATGTTTTTCATCTCGACTCAAATTGACTTTAGTTTCCAGTCTGCAGGTGTGGAGTTGTGTATCTTAGGTACAGGTCTGACCAGCCGCTATCTGTGGGAACAGCCCAGACCTCGAGGTGTGTTATCAAATCAAAAGGTGCGTACTGTAGGCTTTTGCCAAGGCCGCACACCGCTGTGAATGTACAAACAGTGCGAGGTGAAGTTTCAATCCTGTGAACTTTATCACCACAATCTGGCTTCATATTGGCTGTACTAATATTTAATAATAAGCTAATACAGAGTCCACATTACGATTTAATTCAAAATAAAGATTCTACACTGTGAAGCTCGCATCTGGAAATCTGAAGGTCACATAAAAATTGGAACAAACAAAAAAAAACAAAAGAAAAATTCTAAAAGAAATTCTGCCCTTTCCTTTTTTTCACAGCATGGCTCTTATACAGAGACACACACTGGCTGCTGTTTAAAAAAAAGGTTTTGAAAGAGTTTTGGAGTTAATTTTGAAACTGCTGAAGTTAGGTCCTTTAATTAGTAACTAGATACGTCCCCACTTTTGTATGTTTCATCTTCTTTATGAATGTAATTGTTTCTTTGGTGTGTGTTTTCAGATTGGTTGACTTTAATCATGTAACGTCCATTCTAGACGGTCTGCAGCGTGAGATGTGATAAGTATTTTTTTTATAATCATGTCTGCTAAAATCAATAAATCAATCAGTATGATGTATTTTCCAAGTTTTACATAAGACTGAGGGCTCATGGTCATGTTCTGTCATTATCTGTGGAGCTGAACAACTGCTTTCATCTGCTGCATTTACTGATAATCGATTGAGCTCAGGGGACTTTGTAAGTTACATATTTATGGATTACAACACGTGGGCAGGGGTAGGTGGACGGAGGTGTCAAAAGGCAGGAGTTTACAAGACAGAATGCCCGTTAACTTCTACAATGGGTGTATTTATTCAATTCTATGTATGAATTATGTATAGAAGTTAAATCTATAAGCAGATTAAATTTGATTAAACTTTTATCTGCTTACAGTTGAAGGCTACAGGCTGTGAGATAAGATTATTTCAGAGCAGCAATTTGCTTTTTTTCCTTTTGGATTCCTCATATGCAATCTTACATCAGCAATGAATTGGTGTCCAAGTACCTGCATGTCACTCTGCCCTCTCTTTTTTTTTTTTCTTTCAGCATGCAACCTTACACCAGCCTGTCACACACATTCACCTCCTGCTGCCCATGAGTGAGAGTGAGGGGCAGTAAACACATGTTGCTGTGAATGGAATACCAACCACGCTCGGAGAGTAAATACGCAGCACTGTGGGGTTATTTTGGACAGATAGTAACACCTGCGTCGAGTTTATTCATGTGCATGTCTGCATTTCTGCAAAAGCGCCTGCAGCTGTAATAGAAAGATGAAAGCTCTTCCTTTATGTATATGAGCCAAAAGGTAAATTGTAGTTTTTTGGGACATTTTTACAACACAAGTGCAAAGAAGGTTTGACAAGTTGTGGTGTATTTTTGAACATTTTTCAGCGTGTACACAGACAGTTAAAGACTCACCTGGATGTCCCTCTCCTACGGACTCTGAGGTGAACATGAAAGAACCGTCGTCCAGCAGGTCACTCATTTTCTCCACAGTGCCAGGTACTCTGCGAGGTAACTCAATTCCAACCAGCGAGCAGTCCAGAAAGACCTGAAGGCAGCTTTATATTCCTGCTGGTTCTCGTCACCACAGAAATGAAGAACGGGAAGGCCAACAGCCCCTGCAGCCAATACAAACTCTATCCTACAAAACTCCACGTCTGTGTCCACATGGCCCAATATATATGGCTAAGGCAACACACGCGCGCACGCACGCACACACACCCTGTCACTCACACACATACACACATATGTCATGTGAATCCGTGGGACAGTCCATTCCAGGGGGGAGTGGATGATGGGAGGGCATTTCAGCTCAGGGAAACCACTTGTTAACCCCTCGTGTACAGCATGAGGCCTGAGTGAGTGTTTATAGTCGTCACCTGCTTTGACTGCTCCACTTTAGGGTGCCACGCTTCCTGGGTGAAAGCAGCGTCTTACATCGGGGGTTCCCCTCTCCCCATCCCCACCCCCCATCACACCGGTGGGACAGCTCCGTCTGCTCGGACAAGGCCAGGTTGAGGGCAACCTATAGACAGAGAGGGAAGAGTTGTTGTTGTTGAAAATGATGCAATTACTCCTGTTTACATCATCTGAGCAAAGTGATGGTGTTTAACGGTGCTGAAAGAAGACACTGAGAAAAAAATGATTAAACAGGAACCAAAACAATGAAGGTGTAAAATATGAGGTGTTGCAACAATTAGTCATAGAAATGAATCAGCTGCAACTATTTATTTATTTATTTATTTGGATAAATGAATTGTTTGAAGTGCTGGAAAATAAGTACATTGAATACATTAAGTGAAGGACATTTTTGAGGTACATGTACAGGAAATGAGTGTTTCCATAACAAAGTAAAATATATGCCTTTGCTTGAGATTGAGGTGTTCTTTTAAATAGAAGTAGAAATGTAACAATGTAGAGAAAGTCCTGCATTATTCTTCAATGTTAAAGCACAGGTCTAATCAGCAAAATGTCCTTGAACTACCAAACGTTTTTATTATGCAATGCCAATGCATCATATAACTAAGCAACTGAGTAAAACGTGCAAAATACATTTCGACATGTAGTGGGAGAGAACCATTATGTGGAATAAAATGGGAGAATCCAGGTTTAGTACTGTTTGTAATTCTACTACTTGAGTTATTGAACCTACTTTAAACCATTTTGCTTTAAATGCGAAATCATTACCTGCAAAGAAAGCCTAAACTGTAACCTTGATTAAAGAAAATATTTTTTAAAAAACTGTTTGAAAAGTGATGGAAGAGAAATTTTACAGAATAAAAGAATAAAAGAAAGGGAAAATATTTCAAATTTGTACTTCAGCACAGTTCAATGTAATTAGTTACTTTCACTCACTGCCGATAATTCAGTTTAGAGCAGACGGTCACCTGTTGTCTAAATGCTCCTTTTCCATCTCTTTCCAAGTCCCCGCCTGAGGCCCTCGTCTTTGTACACAACCGCAGAAAATATCAAGCCATTTCCAGGGAGCAGATCAAATAACGCAGATGTGTCTCTGTGATATCTCCTGGCCTTTCAGGTGACTCAGTGCGTCTGTGTTTTTGCTGAAAATCAGGGACTGTATTGGACCGTTTGCTCAAGTGATGCCCACAAGCAGATGCACACAAACGTACCGCACATGCATGAAACTGAAGAAACAATGGGACTGTTAACTACACAGACCCTTTTCATATAGTATACAAGCTCTGCACGCAGCGAGAGATAAACAAACCGCTTCTCTCCATCTTTCCCTCATCTGGCTCTAATTTCAGCTGGTGTTGAGTTGGCCTCGTGAAATGAGACGAGAATTTTAACTAGCTCTCCGTAGTGAATAAAATACCACTCTTCCTGACTGCTTTAAGGCTCATTTAAAGCAGATTTGACCAGAAGAACAGAGAGCTACATTACCCATACAGTCAGTGTAAGCGGTGGTTGTGTAACTCTTTTTCTTCTTCAGTTCTATAGAGAGTGTAGAAGTGGCTTGAAATTTGAGATAACCATGTGCTTTGTATTTCGGAAGATTTGTAAAACTACAGTAGAACTGCAGGACTTTGGAGTGCTTTAGGTGGATGAAGCTTGTTCATTTTTTCAGACAATAACCAATAGTTCTATAGGAGTGATCAACATTATGAAATACGAAGCAATTGATAAAATTAATTTCTAGCTGAGGGGCTGCAAGGTGGCTCGGTGGTTAGCACTGTCGCCCAGTTAGGACACCCGGGATCTTTCTGCGTGGAGTTTGCATGTTCTCCCCGTGCAGCGTGGATTCTCTCCGGGTTCTCCGGCTTCCTCCCACACAGTCCAAAAGCATGTTGAGGTTAATTGGTGATCCATAGGTGTGAATGTGAGTGTGCTTGGTTGTCTGTCTCTAAGTGTAGCCCTGTGATAGACTGGTGACCTGTCCAGGGCCTGACTCAGCTGGGATAGACTCCAGCCCCCCGAGACCATAGTGAGGATTAAGCGGTGTATAGATAATGGATGGATGGAATTTCTAGCTGAACCGCATGTCATGCACACAACATTGCAGCAATTAATGAGAATTTGCGAACATACAGAGGAGGTGGTTCTAATTGTAGCTAAAAATTAGAAACAGATGTATTAGCATACAAATAGTAAATTATTTATATATTAAATCCTTCAAAATGTTGTCACTGCTCAGTAATTGCATTATTTCTAGGCCAAACAGTACAGTGTTTCTTCTCATGAACAAACAAAAGCAACCTTGAAGATCAGAACTTTCTCAGTTTTGGACCTATGGGCCGTCTATCAGCATGTCTGCATCATGGCTCCCCATGAAAAAGAACTGCCAGAAAAATTGAAAAAAACCTCACCAAGATGAAAAAGGATGCAGGAAGATCTGTCACCAACTAAAAATCAATTGAAACTCAACTGCAGCAGTAATCAGGAAGTATAGAACAAACCACAGTACCACCAATCAGAACGACAATGGCCTTGGAAAATGATGCCACGGACAGTGGAGCGCTTTCACAATCTAGCTCTAGAAAACTGACGAGACGGTGCCTCAGACTTGGCATGGTGATCAGCGTCTGTGACTCAGCTCAAAGAGTGAGAAGGATATTGCATAACGTCCACCTTATATGGGCGGCATTCAAGAAAACTCTTGCATGTTCTTTGGCACACAAACACCAGATTAAACTCTGCCAAAGAACATGAAAAGAAACACGGTGAATATTGGGAGCACATTCATCGGTTAGATGAGACAATGATAAGTGTGTCCGGCTCAGATGGCGTGTTTGGCATGAACCTGGTCAGGACGGCCACAGTGAATGCATCGTCCTGATAGTGAAGCACAGAGGTGGGAGTGTGGTGATACGGGGCTGCATGAAGGCAGAAGGTGTTGGAGAGATGACATTTACATTGTGTGTGGACACACCAAAACGCTGGTTGACAAAATGAGTCAGTGATAACAATACAAAGCACACTGCCGGCATACAAGATTTTCTAAAGAAGTGGAAACTATGGAAGCACAACCACTCTAGCAGAAAGCTGCTAAAAATAATTGTCTGTAAAGAAAGACAGAACATCTCTGTAGACATTTGTGTAACACTTGTATCCTCTATGCAGAGGATTGAGTCTGTCATTAAAAACACAGGTGGACATGCAAAGTATTAAAACAAAAAAGTTTTGATTATCACTAATAAAATTTCAACTATTAGTTTTTTTGCATTGAAGCCAACATGCTATTGTTCAATTTAGAAGCAATGCAAGTACAGAACGGTGCTAGAATGTAGAATAATTTAAAATTAAATGATACTGCACATCATATTCTACTAAAGTAAATTATCATCAACTATTCTTACTCTACTTGCAATTAATAGATTTCATTAAAAAAGACTATTAAAGCTCACAACTTATCTTTTATTCCAGATAAGCTATTTACATATTTTACAAGAAATCTAGTTTGCAGGAGAACAGAGTAGTTTAAGGAGTGAGCTTAAAGTAATGGTTTTACAGCTGAAACAGTGAAAATTAACTTGCTGAATGTAAGATATTACTGTTCATAATGATAGATAAAATTCATGATTTATGGTTGATAGTTAGCAAAAAGTTATTTATTAACAGTTGAAATAGCAATAAAAATATAAAATAACAATAAAGCTATTTACTTAAAAGCCAATAACTGACTATAAAAAAATGGATCAAGAGTTTAAATAATTAACTAAAACAATAAATGTTTTTCATTTCGTCGCTGTATTGTATCACTCTATATTCTGACACACCTCCAGCTGTCACACTCCTCACTTTAAGAAAGCTGGATAGATTCGATTTGCAGCGTGGAACAGAGACACAGCTGTCTACAAACCGAGGCCAGAGGTCTGAGGTGTTTTAACGCAACAAACACAAGCTGGATCAAACTAGAGATGGCATGAAAATTCGGCCCTACGCTGAGGGGAGCAATGAGCCAGTCTGAAGCAACAGAGAGCGACCTCTGGACGGTACACCTCTGTTTGTTTTGGCCTGACCAGAGTCTGCCGGGAGGAAAACACTCAAGACCCCACACTTGTTACATGTGCACACGTGAATGCGAGAGAGAGGCGAGCTTCTCTCTGAGTTTGCGTGGTTTCCCTTTAAGCATTTGTTAATGACTGACCAGCAAAAGGATTTTTTTTCCCAACAACAAGTAGATTGTACTGGTCATGTTGAAAGATAAGAGCTATCAGAGTTTGACAGCATGTCAGCCTAAAGCATGAATAGGATAAGTACGTGCTGGGGACTATACTGAGTCCTCAAATTAATCCAAGTTATTTAAATATGACTAAATCTCAGTACAACAGAGACTGCTAATCAACTGTTCATCCTGTATTCCATAGAGAAAATCTGCTGCACAGTTTTCTAACTCATTTTATTCATTTAGTTTTTTTTTCTTTTTTTTTTTTTTCAATCAAAAGTAAATTAGAGTTTATGTAATTTGGTGGGAACCAACTGATTTTCTAGATAAATAAGCTTTAACCTATAGTACAGTTAGATCAGTTATTCATTCATTCATAGTCTGGTTCCCTAAAACTACATTTCAATCCAGTATGTGCCAATTATCTATCGTTATAGATTTAATTTGGATGTACTTCTGGAAAAAAAATAAAGCATTTTGTACAAAAAAAGACAAAATTAACCAAAAAAGGAACCTACAACACTGAATGTGTTATTTCATCATATTTTAGATCCTTCCTAAATGAGAGGACTGTTTTTTCTTTCTCTATGTGTACCACTTTTTTCTTTCTTTCTTTCTTTTTTGAAGTAAATTGACCACATTTCGATGCCAATTTGCTCAATGACAGGTGAACATGATTGAAAAGTTGTGATTTTGAATGGTTTTTAATTTGAATTCAATGTCCTGCTCCTTGTTCTCCTCAATGTTCTTCTTCTGTGATGTAGGTTTTTAATATCCCTGCGCCTTCAAGTGAGGTGTGTAACATTCCTTGTTTCTTCTAAATAGCTCTCCATTCCATTAAAGAACAAAAACAAAAGGATAAAACAACAATTTGAGGGGCGACTTGTGTCTTCTCTGTCTTTCATGACTGAGTAGACGGAAATTTCATCTGTACTCCAAATAAATTAGAACAAAAAAAGCTATACTCAGATTTACATCTACTGTATACCGACAGGGTTGAAACTCAAGACAGAGGTGTATGTCCTCTACACATCATTCAATAAATGTGCATGATCCTATCGTGGAAGGTTATGAGGTCAGTGTACAGCGGTAGACTGGAGAAACCTACAAACTGAAGATCCCTTCTAGATAAAGTCCATCCATCCATCCATCCATCCATCCATTATCTATACACTGCTTAATCCTCACTAGGGTCTGACTTAGGGTGTAAGCAGGGTCTAGATAAAGTCTGAAGCTCAACTCCTTCTGAACCTTCACCTGCAGAGTCTTTGGGGCCAATAGAGGGTAAGGAGCAGGATTGTAAACATCTGGTAAACTTTCTGTTGCAAGTCATTCTGAGTTTAAATCTTCACCTATCTTTACATCCTCTGACCCAGTCTCAAGTCAGCGTGACAAAAAAAATCAAGCCACGTGACAGTGCCTGATTGGCTATGTGAAATGTGTGTCACACTGAACCCCAGTGCGTTTCAATTTACAAGCACAGGTCAAGGTTTCGGGGTCACTTTGGGGTTTGAGGGTCAGTCAGACTCAAACTTGACAGAACAGGATGAGATAACCGAATGCCGGCAGCCTCAAGAGCTGTTAACACCTGTTTGCCTTTCCCCAGGTTCAAGGACACACAGTTTTTGACCAGTTTCATCTGGATGGCGTTCAGAGACGGCAGAATGAGTTGGATCTCACCAGACACGAACTTTTATTGCAAGGCGGTAAGATTGTGGAGCGATTAGTGTATACAACTTGTTACACAAGGAGTTGCATGACAGTAAACAATAGATAATGCACACAGCCTGTCAACAGAATCATTTATATATCATTATTGATATTTCTTCTTATCATTATTGTTCTGTTCTTTTACAGACTTTTATAGCCTTTGTAATTTATTGCTTTGTTTATGTTTTGGCTTCTGGTTTCACTGGAATTTTACAGCATATTTGAGCATTTCTTTTGTTATATTACCAATTTTTCTTTCCTCAGAGTTTTTGATGTTGACTCAAAACAAAGAAAAGGAAGCCATGCGTGCATTGTGTGAAACAGATCCATAATCAGAACTCTCTTTACAAATGAAGTTGCACAGTAATTACTATTATACTCATGGTCCTTCTTTTACTACTGCACACTTTACTCTCTGATTGGCTTTACTTGCACAATAAGGATTTGGCATGTCAACCAATGTCTGTGAGCGTGAACACCGCACAAGAGGTGGGGTGCAGCTCTGCAGCTGTGATTGGCTGTGAGACCTTCACACTCCCCGCTGGAGCAGCGTCGACCCAAGAGGAGACTGTGCTGCATTTGTGTATGCATGTGTGTCTGTATGTGATGAGAATACTGGCGCCAAAACAACCCCACACCTCACAAACGAGGGTTTTGTTCATTGTGAGGTGTGAAGTGATTACAGCATATTGACTCGTCGTTGCATATTTTTACTCCAAATGGCTGATTATCTGATGAAAATCCACGAGCCATTCATTCTGCTTCACAGCAGCGCAACACAAACAAGCATCCAGGCAGACCCGCAACCCAGCAAATGGCTGCACAGAACAGGCAGAGGGAGAGCAGCAGCTGGGCTCATGGGGTGTCATTCTATCCCATCTCTAGTCCAGCCCATTTTGGACCCTCAGCACATTCCTCTGTGAAGCTGCCACCAATGAGTGAAATATTACCACTGTGTCACTTTAGCAATTAACTTTTCTTACAGATATTATGCATGAGGAAGCCAGTGTCCTCACTTGACTTCTGTGTTGATGACAGGTTATAGAAAAGTGTGATTAAAAACAATTTAACTCAGAGAGGACATGCACCTTGACCTCCTGAACACCTTGATCCTCTTTGCTGCAATCAATAGTCCCTCTTATAAAGCTGCTATCTCACTAGCTGGTGGTTGTAAATAAAATGGCCATAAAACAGAGACAGGAAGCTTTTTAACCACCCTGACAATGAAAAAAAATACTATATATTGCATAATATAATGTTCCAAATATGTCTTCTAAGATTTAGTCTTTAGTATTTTGAAAAGCTGCAATACAAACACATTTATATATGTGTGCAAATAGGTTTGGACAAACCATTACTTGTAACTCTCACTATAAAAAAAACACCCACTGACCAAATACATGAGGCCTCTAGACCACAGAGTTGGCTCACCTCCTCTCTAACACAACCGAACACTACAACTGGCTCAAAAATAGGATTTATTCGGCTGCTGTATTGAACTGAATTATTATATAAGAGCCTAATAAACCTGAAACTCTCTGTACAGTAGCTGGATCGAATGAGAAAAAAATGGAATGATACACTGTCACGTAGACAACAATAAACGTGTTCTCAAACGCTGCATTATTTATTTATCCAGCGATCGGACATTATACATAGAAAAAGAAATCAATTAGCTGAAAAAAAAGGCAATTCAGTTAATGAATTAATCAATTTCCTAATTTTCAACAAAGTGAGAAAAAAGGGCAAAGGGCAGTCAGTGTCATATGTAAGGATTTGATCTTTGTCATCCATGAGTGACTTTGATTGTTTGATTCCAGAAGCCGTCTTAATAACAATGAGATAAGACTTAATAAATCCCAAAGGAACACCTGGTGACAGTTATTGGTCATAAAAAATCATGATGACATGAGCATTAATGCAGTGCTTAAGAGAAAAGCAATAAAACATGAGTACAATACCTTAGTAAAACTAAATCTAAAAATAGTAATCTAATATAAAACCAGACTAAAAAAAACAACAACTAAGAAATAACACTGGCGATGATACTGAAGTTATGGAGTAGTACTGCATGTGATGAGAACATATTGCAATTATAGGGGTAATTATAGTGGACAATTTCACAGTTTTCTCAAATAGTGAAAACAATAAATACATGAACTAAGACAATAATTGTGAGATTAATAAATAAATAAAACCATAGTTCCTTGCAGCCCTGACGTCAGCCACTGTGCAGACTTTGAGTGTTTGCTCTCCGAGGTCACTAACCTCCTGCAGGGGTCAGTGTTGCTCTGAGCCATGACAGCTGGAGCCTGATCTCAGGGCCTCTCCGGCTACTTGGGGTTATTCTGCTGGCAAAGAAAAGAACATATTTGACCTCCACCTGATATTACTGCATATTTCAGAAACCTAAATAATAATAATAAAAAAATTCAGATGATGCAAATCAGCTTCATTTCACAAAATCAGACGGATCATGTTTGTTGCATCCACCTAAAAAGCTGAATTGCAAATGTGATTCATTACATTTATAGATAAACTAAGCGTACATAATTGATGAAATAAACATCCAAACATGCGGTTAACATGTTGGAGCCTGCGTTGCTGTTTGATGAGCTGTCCGCTCTGCACCACGCTGAGCCTGGTACTGAGGATTCAGCTCAACAGGAGCCTTGTTTCACAGCAATCTTTGAGGAATTCCTATCATGTTTCGTTCACATAAGCAAGTCTTTCACTCTGATTGGACTGATCTGAGTTTAGAGGGCTTAAGGGGCGGCTGGGAAACATCAGATTCCTCCACACTGGTGGCAAGGCACAGACCGGTGAGTATCAACTTTTTACATTTGTTGTTGACATTTTGTGCACTATTGAACGTTAGCCTAAATGGTAAGCCACCAAAGACTTATCTTTTATTAGATTTGATACATGTTGTTAATCCAATCCAATTCTGAATGAGTGTCAAGGAGTCACATGGAAACAGGAATTCTTGCTTTCTGAACCTGAAACAATGTGACATTTCTTACCAGTCCTTGCGTTTGGGGTTCAACTATATTGATTATCTTGTACATTAGTAAGATAAAGAAATTACCAAAACATGCAGCCAGGTTAAGATACAGATAACAGCCACGTTAAACTGAGCCAACAGATAAGGCAAAAGCATCTGGATCTTGTTAAAAGTTTGTGAAGCGAGACCATATTTGAAAGTTGGTCTTTGTATCTGTAGGCGGCCTGTGGAGCGAGTTTAGGACCATGGCGACTGTGACCACAGTCCTGAAGGCGCTGAGCCTGTTTGTTGCAGAGCTCATCAGCTCCATCACAGACTGGTTCCAGACCAAGCCAGCGTGGGCCAAACTAGAAGTGCTGGAGGACACAGAGCTGAAGACAACTGGAGGAGGTGAGTGAGAAAACAGAAAGAAGCTGAATCTGTTAAACTTGAAAACTTTTTCAAAAAGTTCAAAGTTAGTCTTTTAAAGTGTGAAATTCTGTATTTGTGTTACAATCTACCACAGCTTACTGTAAAAGGAAAAAAAAGAAGGGTAAAAAAGACAGCAACGACTTGATTTGTGCAGTACATTTTTACACAGAACAAGGCCCACAGGTTTTATGGTTTTATCATTTCTTTTGGAAGTATATTAGGGAGGGATCTCTTAATGCTCAGTAGGAACAGGGGGAATGATTACAGCACTCTGAATGTTCTTTCAGTTAGATTGAACAAAAACCCAGTTGTACTTTCAGGTAAGACTAATGCAAACACTTTAAATAAAGATGGACGCAGGACTGATCAAATCTACAGCTTTAGGTGTCTGAATGACAGCACACAGTTAGATCGATCCAAACACTCATCAATCAACAACATTTAAAGGTGGCAAGGTTTTTAAATGACTCCTTCATCTGAGGAAAAGCCCCTCTGAATATCAGTCACTAACATTTAGATTCAGTAACAGTCTGCTTTCTCTTCTAGTCCATGAGCGACACAAAGGCAAAGCTCTGTGGGAGAAGACTGGAGCTGTGGTCATGGTTGTACGACGACCTGGATGATTGCTGTGCAGAGAGGTATGACATGAAATGCCGGTCGGTGTGTGAGCTGAAAACTGTTCAGCTTTCATTCATACAATTTGCACATATATTGCAAATACTGCTATTTATTGCTTACTCTTATTTTATTGTTCCAGTTTAGTTGTTTTAATTCTTAAACAGAGAGCTAAGATGCAAATGAGTCAAATTCCTTGTTTTATTTGATTCCAATCTGTCCTTCTCTGTCTAGGAGGCTGCTGAGCTGTCCTCTCTCAAGTCCCAGCTGCAGGACCTTGAAGTCCCCCTCTTCGCTGTGGTGAAAGAAAACCTCGGCAAGGAGCTGGATTCCTTCAAGAAGTACTTCTCTGGGAAGGTCTATGTTGATCAGCAGGTCTGCTTTGGCAAAACCCTTTAAGTCATTCAGTGAAAATGAAGAATTTCATAATGTAAGCCAATAAGCTGCTTTCATGTTTCTCTTTTAGAGAAAATTCTACGGCCCTCAAGAGAGGTGGATGCTCCTCTCCATGCTTCTGCGTGTCGGTGTGTGGAGGAACCTGTGGAGGGCCTACAGGAGGGGTTTCAGGGGAAACCTAAGAGGTGAAGGTCTTATCCTGGGCGGAGTCTTTGTCATTGGGCCAGGAGATCAGGTAGGATGCACTAAATACTTTATAGCACGTGTATCTGGATGTTTTCATGGGCTAATACTGATGCTGTGTTTTCTCTGCAGGGTGTTCTACTGGAGCACCGTGAGAAGGAATTTGGGGATAAAGTGAATATGCTGGCAGTACTCAAAACAGCCCGCAAAATGAGAGAGGACATGGCAAGATAGATTTCAAAAACAGCATGAATGGACTTTTTGTGTGGCATTATGTAATAGTGGCTGCCTGCCTGTTCCTATATGCATGACTCTAGTCTCAGCAAGGACTTTCCTACATCACTCTGTGGACTCAAACATGTTCAACTCTACTCATACTGCAACTGCATAAAGCATGAAATTCATCTAATTTTGACTGCATTTACAGTGTGCTGATGTGTTACGCAACTCAAACTTTACCTGTTTACTGTCTGCATATCTGGGCTTTATTGTGTGATGGGTGTTGTGTGTGTACTAATGACGATTTGTTTCTAAACTCAGCTGAGAGAACAGTTCTGATGCTATACAACACATAAATCCAACACTAAATCTAGTCCTTACATGACAGAGAATAAATCGCTAAAGTATTGAAGTGCATTTGACATCTATGACTGTGTAGATTGTTAGTCATCCAGGTCATGGTAATCCTAAGAGCTTCAATACACACTACTGGATTTCTCTTTTTGAATCTTGAGGACTTTTTAGTTCTCATCCAAGAGGCTACTTCATGTATAAATGACTGATGCAGAGATGCAGGTATGTACAGTCGTCCTCAAATGTATTTATACCCTTCTATTAAAGAAAAGGCAAAATTCGCAATAGTCACACAAATAACAAGAAACTGAAAAAAGTAATAATAAATAAAAATTTGCTAAATTATAATTTAGTGAAATGATACATTGCTTTTGAATTGTGGTTGAAAAGAAGAATTTTTAAAAAAACAAACAAAACTGAGCAGTGGGCCAAAATCAAAACACCTGTCAACAGGTACAGAGCAGAGGTCTGATTGAGAGTTACAGAAAACACTTGATTGCAGTGATTGCCTCAAAGGGTTGTTCAATATTTTTGTTGAACCACAATTCAAAAGCAATGTCATGATTTTCATTAAATTTGTATTTATTATTTACTTTTGTCAATTTCAACTTATTTCAGTGACAGCTGATTTTTTCCTTCTTTAATGGAAGGGTATGATTAACTTTGAGAATGACTGTATTGTCAAGCTCACTTCCCTCCAGGTGTGAATGGTTGCAAAACTGCTAGATGAGGCGTGTTTGGTGGCAAAACAGTCTGGAGAGGATCTTAAGACTGCACTGTAACTACCTGGTGGCTTCCTTCTCTGTTTGTACACTGCTGACCTCAAAAGAGTGTCCCTTAACCTTTAGATGCAGAAGGACTGCTGAGTCTTGTCCCAAGGCACCATTTATCAGGTACTTATAATGCAGATTTGAGATCCCTCCCTATACATTTTCAGCACCATTAATACTTTGATTCAGCCCTTAATTGAGAGTTTCACAACCACCCATACCTCGAGGTACATGAGTCTCACATTGTTAATTGGCTGCTAGTTTGAGAATACCTGGGACTCCCCATCAGCAAGGTAGAGCAGCAGAAGCCTTTTTGATGGGAGGTAAAATGTGTTCAAGTACAACAAAGGAAGTCCAGTTTACTGAATCTCTGGGGAACATCTGGTGTTAATAATAAACAAGTATACTGTCATTAAACGACATAATTACAAGTCTTTGTAACTTGTTTTGTCTTGCTTGCTTCTCGCCTTCTTGGCACTGGTCAGATCTAGTTTTCCAGGCATCTTGTTCGACTAGTCTCCCCTGCGCTCCCAATCGGTTAGTACGCCTGCGCCGAAATCTGTTGACAAAACGTCCGATCGGAGAGGCGTTGCTTGTCGCTTCATTGATTCTGGTGAGTGAGCCTTTATTACGAAACTACTACATTAACTTTACAGCACATTGGCTATCTCAAAATGCGTGCTCAGGCATTAGCAAGCGTCGCTAGTTCTGGGCTGTGACTCAGTAAACCGAAGACATTTTCCTCACATGCTATGCTAATAAATGCTAATTTGTCGACGCTTTGCCACGACGCCGTCCGTCCGTCCTGTCATATCTGTGACAAACCACAACAAGTTTCTAGGACATGCAAGCTACGCATTTGTTGTACTTAAACATTACCAGCAAAGCTATTAGAATGCTAAACCCGATTTAAAGGTCCTTTTCAGTTACCATTTTAAGTGTAGCTCGTAGAGTCTTTAGGTATTGTCATTGGTAAAGTTATACAATTACGGTATCAAGGTCATCTTCTCCATAATTGTCGTTGGGGCGGTCACCACATAGTTTCTGCCACCTCATCCTGTAGTGGGTTAAATGTCAGCAGTGACTACAGCATTGAAATACTTTAACAGTTAGCTGTTGTTTTTATTTATTTATTTTTATTATTATTATTATTATTATTTTGTTTTCTAAACCTGTTAAGTTAATAGCACAAAACATTAAATGGTATTACCACACAATTACACTGAGTTGCAGTTACATAACACATTAATGACAGCGACAAATAGTTACATAACCTGTGTAGTGCAGTAGTTATGCTTGTGATTTTACAAAGGTAACAACAAATTAGCTCATTAATTACTGATTTAAAACGGTTAACAGAGGTCCATTATGTAGAATGTCTTCCTTAAGACTGCGTTGATGCCATCTATGTGATATTATAAGTACAAGTTTAAAGATTCAATCAATTTAATCAAATACTTTTCATACTGTTGGGCTGTTTAATCCAAGATAAATCCTAATATGTAACAAACCTGTGTCTGTTATGTGTGAAACAACTTTATCTTCAAATTTACTGTAGTTACTGCAGCAGTTTACTGTATTTACTGCAGTATTTTCCTTTAACATTTAGTGTAAAGGAAGTATAACATTAAAATACTGAAGTAAAACTAGAGAGGTCTTCTCATCAAAATGTATTTCTAGTATCAGAAGTAAAAGAACTTGCTGTGTAGGAGGAATGGCAGAAAAATGCAGTGGAGTAAAAACAGCCATGTGTCCTCCTGCAGTGGTTTGAAGTAGGAAGTACACAGTTATAACAAATAGCAATAGTCAAGTAGAGTGCCTTAAAACTTTATGGTACTTTACTTGAGTTTTAAGTGAATTTATCTACACAACTGACTTCTTTGTGATTGTCTGTCCTTTCCCCACCCAGACGTCTCATTAATGTAATGATTCAGTAGGCGTGTTCATTGTTTACCAGTATCATGCAGCTCTACATTGTGTTTCACAGTGCTGACAGCTCTTTTCACTGATGTACATTCATCTAAAAAAAGAAAAGAAGAAAAAACCCAGCCTCTTGCTTGTGTTGCAGGCGTGTGTCTGTCTCTATTGGCTGCGGATGTTATCTTTTTTTTTTTTTTTTTTAGTTCTTTGTCCCCTGAGATATAAAGTATCTGAACTGAAATACATTTGGGTGATTTACCGTTTGAATCTGGATGAGCAAGAGAAAGAGAGAAAGAAAAGAAATTTATTGGCTCTTTGGCAATGGAGACAAGTTAGTACATAACATTCCTACTTTTAAACTGTTTATACTTCTGCGTAGCGTATTGTAGGCTGATGTGTATTTTTGTGTTTTTAGTCAAATTTAGGTGTGGTTGTCTTTATCACACGCAAGAGAGCTGAGAAAGAAATGTAAAGTTTTTTTGCAAATGCAGAACGGTCATGCAGTAAGATATTGAGGTAACACATTTTGTACTTTGGGCGTTTATTCAGTTCGATATGAAACGCTGCAGTCTGCCGTGTAGAAGGGAAATTTCTTGTGTAAATAAAAGTTGGCTAACTGGTTTAACAGTGGGTATAAGATTGAAACTAACAAGGCATGAAGGAATGTTTTTCTTTCAAAGGTGCCAAATTAATTACCCTTGAAAGTAGAGCTTGCAGATAAGAGGCATTGTATTCTTTTTTTAATGCTCTGCAGCACTGCATGGTGGCATGTTTTACCCTGTTTAGAAGACACCTGTGTTTTGTGTCTTTCAGTGAAACCTTGAGGGTGTGTGTAGTCAGAGGGTCAGACTTTTTCCACAGTCCGCGATGCTGGCACTGTCCAGATGTTCCACCGCTTTGAGGTGGAGACTTTCCCTGCGCTACTCTGCCCTCTCTCTGGGGAACTCTACCATGAGCAGCCAGCCCTCCACCACAGCCAGGCCCCCGATTCTAAGAAACCAGGCTGCTCTGTTTCACCAGAGTAGACCCAAAGCCAGTCCTGACCCAAACAAGATCGCCTCAGGCAAGGATCTGTTCGACTGCCTACACACTCAGCTGTTCTCTGTCTCTGGACAAAAACAAAACAACAACCTTTTGAAGACCTTGGGTTCTGGGAAATTATAAAGGACTGTGTTGTGACATTTAATAGACACAAGAAAACAATCAGTAGAATAATTTAAAAAATGAAAATAGTTGCATCCCCATATTACACTGCAAGATTTTCTAAAAGACGATAAAAGAGGAAACACAATAAACTATTCAGACTATTCTCTGTGCCATAGTGGCTTATCAAGAACGGAGCTTATGCATGGTTTTATGTGAGGTATTTAATCTCATGGTTGAGGTTTAGGTGAGATGCCATGATGGCAAATAGTACCACCCTCACAGACAGATATGGCAGGACGCTCAAAGTCGGCATGTCGGATCTTGTTGGTCTCTAAGCCTCAGCCAGACTTGAGGTCTTCCAGTTAAAATGATAAGACAGCGAAACTGCTTTGCGGTGAAATCATCTAGTCTGCACATCTCAGGGCTCAGCTACAGGAGGAAGTGTGAAAGAAAACTATTTTGGCAAAGTAAGACTGTTTAAATTTTGCTTATATGTTTGTGCTGCAGTGTCTGGTTCTGCGCTGGAGGGGGAACTGTTCGGAATGGGGATGTGGTCACTGGGTCTGGGTGCTGTCGGAGCTGCCCTGGCAGGGATCCTCCTGGCCAACACTGACCTGTGCCTTCCCAAAGCAGCCAGTGCATCGCTGGAATACCTTGAAGATGCAGACCTGCGCTCCACCACAGATGGTCGGTAGGCTTTCTGATGCAGTTCAGTAATGTCACCCACCAGTAAGCCTGCTTGTCTTAACACCAGCCGTTGTTAAGCCCATTAAGAGGAAAATTAGCGTTACATCAGCGCTAGAATCAGCCATGTGTAGTTTTCTTTACTGTTACATGTTTACATGCATTGTACATGCTGTGAATGAGGTTTTGTGTAGCATTTGAGCAAAAGCTGCTTTCTAAAATCTGCTGGTAATACAGATTACATCACTGTAAAGCTGTAAAGATGGACTTACTGTTTTTAGTAAGCATGTTCTACATATGTTTCATGTGACCATGAAACATTTAGTTTTTTTTCTGCTTGAAGGCTGTATTTTTTTATCCTCTACCCTACACTGAATTATTGTAGCAGTAAAATACATGTAGTATTTGTGTCTTGTTTTATCATTAACATGTGACCTTGGAGACATGTAGTAGAAAGTTTCTTGTTGTTTTGTCTGCAGATGACAAGGTCATCAAAGCAAAGAGCCTGTGGGAGACGAACGGCGCTGTGGTCATGGCCGTAAGAAGACCTGGATGATTTTTGTGCAGAGAGGTGATTTCACAACTTCCTGATTATGAATATGTAATATATGAGGCTGTTCTTTTCAACTCTGAGTGTTTATGAGTTACAGTCTCTCTCATGGTATTATTTTGTGGCGCTGTAGGAGGCCGCTGAGCTGTCCTCTCTGAAGCCCCAGCTGGAAGAGCTCGGGGTCCCTCTGGTCGCTGTGGTGAAAGAGAACGTCGGCACAGAGATCCAGGACTTCAGACCGCACTTTGCTGGGGACATCTATATAGATGAAAAGGTAAACAGCTGTCAGTAACATCAGAATTACCAGAGCTGCAGCTACAAGAATGAAGTCTGTCTTTTTTTTGTAATTTTTAAAGACTGGTCCTTCAGCAGCTCACACTAGTAACTATAGTCCATCCTAAAATCTAGTAGTCATTGTCATTTACTTATTTGGTCGATAAAATGTCAGAAAATACAAAAAAAGGACAACTTTCCAAAGACCAAATTGGGCAAGAAAATATATTTTAATCTCAAGTGACTTCCTGAATACATAACAGTTAAATACAATTTTGTACTCGTGCTTTTTTTTTGCTTTTTTTTAAAACAATCAGTCATTAATCACATGCAGAATCCATATGTTGTATACTGTCTCCAGTTGTTTACTTTCACCAATATTCAGCTTTTGAATTTTGGGCATTTTTGCTATAAAAATGAACAATTTAGCTGTCCATCGACTACGAGAGTTAGCGAATGAGGTGATGAAGTGATTGTGGCTGTGAAAGCATCTGTAAGAAAAAATCCATAGTATGGAATGAAAAAGCACTTTGAGTGAATCCTGTGCTGCATGTTTCATTTTCCTTGATTAGGCTGACTAAAACTAAACTGTGATTGTAGAAACATTTCTACGGCCCGCTGCAGAGGAAGATGGGCGGTCTGGGCTTCATTCGCCTGGGAGTGTGGCAGAACTTCATCCGGGCCTGGAGGTCCGGTTACCAGGGCAACATGAACGGAGAGGGCTTTATCCTGGGGGGTGTTTATGTCATCGGAGCGGGAGATCAGGTAGCCTAGCACACAGCCAAACTACACTAACAGATTTGGCTCAGTGATTCATTATAAAACATGCCTGTATTTACCTGCATGCTGTGTTTTGCAGGGTATCCTCCTGGAACACCGCGAGAAGGAGTTTGGTGATAAGGTGGACACGGCAGATGTGCTAGAGGCTGTTAAAAAAATTGTACAGGTGAAATAGTTTGTTGTAGCATTCCACAAAGCTCAGATACACTGTATTAGATCAAAACTAGAGTTCTAAAATAATGTACAGTTTAGGAATAGATATTATATTGACACTTAAGTCTGTTTGCATTGTCTCATATCACATTATACCTCTGTCTTTTGCACAGTAATTTCCTGTTGGGTACGAAAAATTGAGCTGTGAAATTCAGGACAGAGCCAATGTTATTACAGCGTTTGTCACTGATTGTTGCGTTTACCTCTTCAGACAACGATAAGTTAGATTTTTGACACGGGTATGAAAAAATAAGGGACATAAAGGTAGCATTTTCATTCAGGTTCATCAGTCAGTTTAGGGTTACTTGACATTTGCCTTTTAGAAAACCACATACTTCAATCTAAAGGCTTGATTTCACATTTATTATCTGCTAGTGATACATTTTTATTATCGATATAAAGCCTCGTTTGCTTCTCCTGGTCAGGCACCTCGACGGGACTCCAACTTGACAGACAAGAGTGTGTGGTCTGTGTGTAATAATGATAACTTGTCTCTAAACTCAGCACCGAGAGGAGCAGGTTTGATGACCAAACACACACACAGGTTCGACTATTGTCGTCACGTTTGAGACCGTTTGCGGTGACTGAGGCAGGTGTTGCTTGCATGCGTGTGTTTGTGTG